GATTTTCCTCTTAGATATATATATATATATATACTGGATTGCGTGTAAACGGTAGACTCTAAGAATACGAAACGAAATTCAGCATGAAGCTGAATGATTACATTGCAAACTTTTTACGAAATGAAGTCTTTTTACCAAATTAACTTTTTCCGATTTTTAATCAGATTTTTAAATTCGGAGACATTTAAAAAATGGAATTTTCTCATTGGCTTATTGGAAGCCATTGTTTCAAAATAAGCCATAGAAGATTCAATTTTGTCAAGTATTTTAAAGATGTGGCGTTTATTAACTCATAGCTCTAATCAAAAAAAGTTGTTTAGTGCGCATTCTGCAATACTTAATTATTTTTTATTCGTTATGCCAGGTTTTCTGAAAGATCAATGTGACTGGGCTTGCATAAGCAGAATACGTCCCCTGATTCATATTTTTAATGCTATCTGAAACCACGTGTTTATTTTGTTTATAGTTATACTTTTAAAACGGGTTATTACAAAACTAAATAATTTAAAATCAATGGTAATTTAAATAAAAACAAAATAAGAGTTGAACTGAAAACCGTAATCGAGGGAAAAATAGTACTAATTCTTTGAAAAGAAAGTAATAAAACGCCGATATTATTGTTCACGTGTATGATAATTAATTTTATTAATTGTTACAATTTGAAGTAAAAAATAAGCCATGTACTAAAAAGGAAAACGTAATCGAAAAATCGTACTAATTTGTTTAAGAGAACATTAAAAATCGATAAACTAATATTAATGTTAATGATGCGTAATTATTTTTGGTAATAGGCACTAATTGGGTATAATATGAAAAAAACACAACTACTTCGATTTAGTAGGAACAACATATGACGCAATGCTAAACGAATGGAATTTAGTTGTTGTTTATTTAGTTATTGTTATTAGTAGTTGTTGTTATTTGTTTTAGTTGTTGTTGTTTATTTAGTTGTATTTAGTTTCAATAACTTTTCTTTATAATGCAATAAAATCTGGCGAGCAGCTATTTAAACGATCGAACACTTCGTTTGTTTATTTGTGACTTGAAGTTAGGCTCGCAGAAAATGCCGTTCATGGGTTAAATTTAGTAGGAACAACACAACCTGTGACGTAGGCTATATTATACCCAATTGAAGTTAAAAAATAAGCTATGTAATAAAAAGCTAAATTGGTGGTGAACAATATCATGAGTTGCCTTGAGAAACAGCATTATGCCAGATAATACTAAATAATGCAGTTAGCTTTTATGATGTTAAAAATGTGTTTTGATTAATCTAATAACGTAAATCCATGTAGAAGAGTAACAAATAATCTGTACATATAATAAAATAAAGAATTTCTGTGTATTTCCGTCTGAGTGTGTGTAAACTGGATTGAGAGTATACCCTAAGCTCTATGAATGCGTAATTCATAATAAATCTAAATGAGTAAAATTGTAAACAAATTAAGAAGCCCGATTTTTTTATTCTATTTTAAATTCACACATTTAAAAAATGGAATTTTCTCATTCGCTTAGCAGCAGTGTTTCCCAAAGTGTGGTCACGCGTACCCCCAGGGGTACGGGAACAGTTTAGCAGGGGTACGCGTTCTTATGAAATATCTAATAATAAACGAAAATTTAAAATTTTTTTATTTAAAAACAAAACTAGCCATGAAAATTTACGATTACGTATTTTTCTATTTTTTTGCAGAGTTAATAATTAGTGGTGTCAACAGACAGTTGTGATTTGTAACTTTTGTGCAATTTTTTTATGCTAAAAAATGCATTCATTTTTTTTATTAGTGGCACACGAAAAATTTAGAAAGGGTACACAAAAGTCATAAGTTTGGGAAAGACTGGTTTAGTGGGAAGCCATTGTTTTAAAATAAGCTATAGACGATTAGGTTTTCAAATATTTTAAAGATATCATCAGTTACGTTTGTAGTGTTATATCTTTAATCAAAAAAAGATGTATTTATTAATCAAGTTTCAAATTTATGGCAACAAATGTATCAAACAACTAGACCGATTCATCAACACTTGGAAGAATGGAATAAGGTTATAGAAATTTGAAATCGTTCTGGAAACTGAAGAAATATTTTTTTTTTGTTTAAAAATCGGAAAATTCATTCAATTTCATAATTTTTTATGTACCCATGTCACACCAGTTCCTTGCTATACCCCAAAATATGCTTTTAATATTTACTTAGAAAAAGGACAATATTGAAGATTGAACCATAATATTGATTGCCATAATGTGTGAATAATAAAGTTTTAAATTGAACCATATTTCAGTTCGAATAGAACTTTAGTGTAGCATGTGTAAATAAGTAAAAGAAATACAATAATATAGTACATCATAGCACCTTATTTAGTTTGCATCAAATTTGAACGCTTCGACGCGCTTAGAAATTTTTTTTTTATTGTTGTTATATAAATTTTAGCATGGTCTTAGTAATTCGTAAAATGATAAAAAAAGAAAAGAATATATTACGAATTCGGATGGCAGGAAATGTAATGATAAAAAAAACTTAGTGACATAATTAAAGAGGAAAATTTTAAATCAACGAAATAAACTCTTTTTTACATTGTGGATGAGAATTAATAAAACTCGGTTATCTAGTTTGATTTAGTACCATGTATCAAGGTTGCTGAAAATTTGAACGATGTTATGATTTAATATATTTCAAAATTTCTATAAGTGTGTACTTACCTTTTATTATTTTTTTAAAAGCGATTGGGTTTCCGTGAACTATAGTGACCTGCATAAATAAATTCATAAAAATCGATTATAGGATGAGTGTGGGATTTAAATATTTTATTACAAAATTTGTCAAAGGTTTAGTGCTGTAAATCACAAATAACATTTTATTTTTCTAGGCAAACTGTCCTTGGTAAATACGATGATGATTTTCCTCTTAGAAAAACAGGTAAGAAAAAAACTTGTTTGTTTTCGATAAATGTTTCTTAATTCTATATCCAAATTCAAAAATTGTTTAATAATAAAAAATAAAAAATTCGACTGTATTGAACTCCATAAAGTTATTAGAATTTTTTTTTTTCAAATTTCGCATATAACTTTTCCTGGAAAAAAAATTTACTTCAAATCAAATTAGATTTATTTATTAAGGAAAAATATTTAAAGATTCCTGCGACTAACTCTGCATGACATGGATTCATTAATAATTTAGTGCTTGGCATGAACTGCATGATAACACAAAAGTTAACTTATTAAAACGTAACAAAAGTCATGCTATTTTGTTGATACTTACAAATCATTAAAATGTAGTAGTTTGGGACTAAAATATGCACAATCCAATTTAAATCTATTTTCCAGACACAAAGTTTGTGCAAAGTTTTTTTTTTTTCTATAAAGACCCAAAACTGTCCCAAAAGTAAGGTCTCCTGTTTTTTTTGCCACAAAAATACGTTAATTTTCTACAATTATATATAATTTTGAAAGTTGAAATTTTTATGAAAGCATATTAACATAATCACTATTTAAGCCCATGTATCTTTGAACATTTAGTGTTTGTTTGTTTTTTCTCCTTTTTTTGTATACCCAAGTCATGCCAGCTCCCTGCCACGTCCTTTAGAAAACATTGAATTTCATCTTTTACTTTGTCGTCTCCGACTCTTTTACTTTGTTAAATCACCACTTTTTTGCATTAGTTTCAATGAAATCCAGGCTCCATATAGCTAAACTTAGCACCTAGTGACTTCCACACTTACGTTCAAAGAATTTATAAGTCCCTGGAAGAGGATTAAGCCCTGACGATTAGATGAAANATAATAAAAAATAAAAAATTCGACTGTATTGAACTCCATAAAGTTCTTAGAATTTTTTTTTTTCAAATTTCGCATATAACTTTTCCTTGAAAAAAGAATTTACTTCAAATCAAATTAGATTTATTTTACAATTAATTTATTAAGGAAAAATATTTAAAGATTCCTGCGACTAACTCTGCATGACATGGATTCATTAATAATTTAGTGCTTGGCATGAACTGCATGATAACACAAAAGTTAACTTATTAAAACGTAACAAAAGTCATGCTATTTTGTTGATACTTACAAATCATTAAAATGTAGTAGTTTGGGACTAAAATATGCACAATCCAATTTAAATCTATTTTCCAGACACAAAGTTTGTGCAAAGTTTTTTTTTCTCTATAAAGACCCAAAACTGTCCCAAAAGTAAGGTCTCCTGTTTTTTTTTAACCACAAAAATACTTTAATTTTCTACAATTTTATATAATTTTGAAAGTTGAAATGTTTATGAAAGCATATTAACATAATCGCTATTTAAGCCCATGTATCTTTGTACACTTAGTGTTTTTTTTTCTCTCCTTTTTTTGTATACCCAAGTCATGCCAGCTCCCTGCCATGTCCTTTAGAAAACATTGAATTTCATCTTTTACTTTGTCGTCTCCGACTTTTTTACTTTGTTAAACCACCACTTTTTTGCATTAGTTTCAATGAAATCCAAGATACTCATAGCTAAGCTTAGTACACAGTGACTTCCACACTTACGTTCAAAGAATTTACAAGTCCCTGGAAGAAGATTAAGCCCCGACGATTAGATGAAAAATGAGGTTCAATTCAAGGACATGGCGGGGAATTTGTACGACATGGTTCGACAAAATATTTTACAGCATCAATGAAAATGCCTCTACCGAAGTGGCAGTTATGTCCAAAATAGACAAATCTTGGACTTCTAAAATGATGTAATGTTGTAAAAAGTTTTTATTTCTGAAAGATAGGAAAAAAATCTTTTTTGGATTGGTGTCGCCCTCGTAGTCCTTTTATTGTGTGTAAATTTTAAGGAAATTTTAAAAAATAGCCAGATATGTAATGAATGGATTTTTATTCATTATTTCAGGGGGAGGGATATGATTTCGCAGTATTTCTTCAAAAAAATATTTAGTATTTATTTTGTTTTTAGAATATTTCTTAAAAATGTAAAATTTTTAGTTTAAACTTATAGAAAATTAACTGTTTTTGATAACAATCGCTGAAGCAGAATTAAGAAAATTTTTAAAGGGTTGACTAAAATCTGACAAAAGTTAGTTCGGAAAAAAAGAATTTTTTTTTGATATAGCTGGTTGTGAAACAAAACATCTCGTATAAACTCACTATAGTAGCTTTCATTAGTTTTAGTGCCTGCCATTTTGTGATGTTGCTCATATTTGTAATAATATCAGTTCAAGAACTAAACAAATGTTTTAAAGCCCTTTTGCCACACATTTATAATAACGTTTTTAACATAATTAATTACATTTACAATTTTTAAGTTGCAACCGTTAAATAAATATTATTATTGGTGAAAAAATAAAACGTTGTTTAGCTATCTAATTGAGTGAATACTGTTTAAAAAAAAACTAAAGTCTAAACCAATGGATGAATGTATGTGTAAAAGCAAATTTTCAAAAGAATTTTTAAACATTTCTTTATATAAATTTAAGGTAATTCATTTCCTTCCTGAATATACTTTTTTTTTATATTATAAAAGGAATATTTATCTAACACATAAGCGTTCAACATGAATAAGTGAATTAAATTATTACAGTTCATATTTAATTGTGAAACAAAGCTGGATTGGCGAGAAATATCAATCAGAAGGGTTGAGCCTACGATTACTAGTTTACATTAAATAAATAACTAGATAAATGACATTTCTTAATAAAGCTCGTGTGTGAAGCTCAAACTGTTTTGTTATTCATTCCACTGATTCACTAGTAACAGAATACTATGCTTACGTTTGAATCAATATGCTCACCCTCACCCTGACTTCATCGTACTTTTGAATTGCCCTCACAATGATTTTATGAGCTCATAAAGTTCCTTGAAATCAAAAGAAGACATATCTTAATTAGGAAAAAAGAAATTGCTCAAGATTGAGTCTCAACAAGGGCTGCCTAAATGAAAAGCAGACATGCGTGATTGCGTCAGAAATACGATAGCATCACCAGTGTGCCGTTATGAATTAGGGTACGAGGAGAATATCAAAATGATCAAATAGTTCGAATTTTAAGTGAATGTAAAATGCTACTAAGATGGATACATCTAGAACTTAACGTGCATTAGCACAATTTTTAGTGGCATAAAGGTGGAGATAACGCGGGCTATTTTTGTCAAATGTTTGCCATTAAAGGTTAACACTATTTGGGACAAATAACTGTGAACAAATGGTTTTTAAATTTTCGGAAATGGCGTAAAAATATCGTCCTGCGCAAGCAAATGTCATGACCTCCTATGAATTAATTGCTGTCATTGATAATATGATTAGAGATTATTAAAAATTGTGATATCTGTTCTGCACATAATTTGGTATAAGCTAATAAATGGTACAAACACCTTTTGTCACTAAAAATCTTTCTGCCTCGTGTTGTTTCATTCTAGACGCATCCTTCTTTACTTGACTTTACATTCACTTTAAATGCTCTCATGTGATTTAGTTAGTCTTTATACGCAGTGTGTGGTGCTTTCTTCTAACCAAATTTTAAAACTCTGAGTGATGGCTTTACTGTAGTTCTGACCTGCTATAATCACTGTACAACCGTAGAAAAAAGTGTATTACTTTTCATTTAGGCAACCATTATACATTATCCAAGAAATTAAAGAATATATATTTATGCTGAGGCTATTTATGGGTGCATCGGTTTTCCTTTTATCTTCTTGCTTCTTTCTAATTCAACAAAGGCTTGTCTGCTCAAGTAAGAAATCTTGAACTATCTCGCCTCCAAATCTGGCACCACGTGACTTTCATACATTCAGGAATTCAAAAAAGGATTGCAAGGTCGAATAATGATATTAAATGGATGATAAATTTAAAAAGTGAAGGCGAAACTGATTTGTTAAACAGCACCTTTATTAATTCTATAAGCATGGAATTCATGCTATTTTTGTCCTAATGGAATAAATACCGAAACAATTACGGGGAATAGTTTTGATTTTCACGAGATAAATTTCAAAGGAAATATATTATGTTGACTGTGTTTTTTTTTTATTATTATATTGTTTATTAAGAATTTAACGAAGAATTTAACGAAAAACTTAATTCACTTAAAGTAATTCATTCTTAAAAATTAAATAACCATTTTGCATTCCAAATGACTACTAATAAACACTTAAATTATTGCAATGTTCTTTGTTTTTACACTTTAAGAAAGTTTCATCTACTTGTGATAAAAACTAGTTATCGACAGAATTAGCAATTAAAGATAAACTTCCGATTTATAGAGATCATTATTATCCATTGTTCGTAAACTATACAAGGTTCACAGCAGTTAACCAGCTATTAGAAGTTATTATTATTTTCCTTTTTGACTGACCTGTTTTTTAGCCAGATTTAATTTTTAAAAAGTTGTTATATTCATGCGTAATATTTAAAAAATGTGTAAGTAATTTTTGTTTTGTTTATCAATTTAACTAAAATTAAAATGGCCGTTAATAAATAAGCAACTTTAATTATCCAAAATATAGGTTCAAATTTACAGTTCAAAAAATTGATATATATGTGTGGCAAAGTAAATAGGGCTAGTTTATGAAGAAAAGTTGGTAGTCAACAAATGAGATCTAATTTTTATTTTTATAAATGTTATGTTCAATTGAATGCTGCATTTTATATAAGTTTGTGTGTGTTTGTTAATGAAACTAACCAAAATGTTGTGGTGTGTGATATGTGCTTTTGCATCGTGCTCCTTTATAGCATCTGAACCTAATCTCAAAGTGCGATCGGTCTTGAAACAGAAAGTGATAGATCGCCGAAGTAGTCCTCTCCTTAGAAGGAAAGACAAAGGACCGGGACCCATAAAACGAAGGACCCCCCTCTCAAGTATGATAATCTTTTACATTTTTTTATTTATTTTCATTTAAGTGAATAACCTATAATGGTTTCTATTTTTAGTTAAAAAAGGACTTAATTTGCAGGATTGCTATGGATTTTTCCCGTAATGTCTACGAAAATTAATTCCGTCTGCGAAATTTTGTAAAACTTTTGAAAATTTCGGAGAAAATTAATAACGAATTTTTTTGATATTTTCTTGTTTTATGGTATTTTATTTTAAGTTATGGATCCTCCATTTTTAGACACGCTTTCATAATTTAGGGGACAAATTTTTTTTTTTTTTTTAATTTTTTTTTTTTAATGTTACATTGGTACTATTTATTCGTTTTGCAGCTGAACTTTTTATTTAGCACAATCTTTCTGATACTTTTATTGTTAACTTTCACGTATGTATTATGTGTCTTGAAATCATTTTATCGTTTTAAAAATTTGTAACTTTTGGAACGTCAATTAAACGTTTTATATTGTACTATTTCAATATTACTATGGAAAGTTTTACGGAAATTGATCTTCGCTGCTATGGAAAATTGGGTATGTGACTACGGGAAAACATCACTAGCTTAACACCTCTGTGTATTATTTATTTTAAGTCAGCTCTTTTAATTAATAAACTTAGTTGTTATTTTTAAATTTTTATTTTTATTTTATAAAGTTTTTATAGCTGAATAATTATTTCTTTTATTTCATTTAACAATCATTCGAAAATTACTGTTAATAATCATTTATGGATAGGGTTTTGTAACTGTTATACGATATACAGTACATTAAACCGTCCTTGTAAAAAAATTATTATTTTTTACCCTTAAAATAATTGAGTTTGTTTATTGTCTATCAAAACCTGAAATAGTTTTAAAATGTTGTTTTTTTTTTAATGTTTCTCAAATTCTTTATTTAAATCATTGAATTTTTATGAATAGTTAAAAACCAAGTTTGTTGTATCAATTACAAATACAAAATATGAAGTGGTTAAATTTTAAATGGCTGACAATAAGAAAGTGTTTTTTTTTTATTTGATTACAATATGAACAAAGAACATTTTATTCACTTTTTTGTGTTTTGCTTATATTTTTAAATACTTCTTACAGGTTTTTTTTTAAAAATAAATATTCTATCAAAATATTTTTAATATTTCAAATTTATAAATGCAAAATAAAAATGGGTTATTCGGATGTATTTATTTACAATTCATATATTATAGTTTCAATTGTTTGTTTTTTCAAGAGAAAAATATCAATACAAGGAGTTAATTGCATCATTTTAGTTTGCTGCATGTATTGAGTTTGCATGGTATTTGCATTTACTAAAAATTTAATTAAGTTACTCCTTTGTAATCAATAAATTAAACTTTTGATTCTTTAACAAAATAAAGTCTTTGAAAATAAATTGTAAATTTTATATAGTTTTATACGGTTTCATACAGTTTTTATGATTTCACACGGTTTTATAATACTCATCATTATGTTTTATCATTATTTTTAAACACCGTCGATATTATATTTCTTTCTGTGTTTTAGATGATACATTTCTATTGATAAAAATATAACTAAAAATCTGTTATTCTACAAAATGCTTCGAAATTAGGCCTGCCATTCATTCCACTAAAATTTCCACGCATGTGTTTTACTTTTTGTATGATGTACTTTCGGTTAATTCGACGCATTACTTAAATAATACATTAAGGATATAATCAAGCGTTGAAAAAAATAAGCCAAAAACTCAAAACATAAATGTAACCACAGAGGAATTGATTTTTTAAAAATCTTAACAGGAAAACTAAGTAGGATATATTTCTACCTTATAAATTTAAACATCTCTTCCTGAAAATATAATAAAGGCAGTTAAAAATGTAACGTAATAGTTGTCTCATCGATTACCAAAACTTGTTCATACAATGACTGAAAATATAATCATTCGATCAAAAACTATTCAGAGTGAGTTGTTTTTCTCAATGCAGTGCCTTAAAATATTGATAGGTAATATCGTTTATTCTAACTAGGTGGTTTTGTTTCCATTTATTGATATAACTGACGTTATGTTGAAGATAATAGTCATTTACTTCAGATTGCGGGTTCTACTTGTATATTTCAATTTTTGTTATAGTCAACTGCGTGTGTTAGTAGTGAAAATTTAGTGGATTTGTTCCATTAACATAAAAAGTTCAAAAAGTAAATTTCAGAGAGATTGTTTTAAAGAAGGTTCGTAGGCCTTCCAATTGATCGCTTAGTGGGTCGCGGTGTGACGATTGTCTTTCTGCTATCGGCCCGGTTTTGGTGCCGTGGGCCTGGATTTAGAGTTGGATTGCTTATAAGTGTCTCTTGTCAAGCGTGACTCGGGGCCTTGTGTCTGAGGATCTGCTATGCTTGGCGCTTGTGTTGGGCGGGACTGCTTCATTGCATCTGTCTTATGGACGGTCTGGGTCGGCAATATTTATTCCTTGGTTTTTTGTGTTGTTTTTTTTGAATTTTTTTTATCATACTCACTTTATATTATTAAATTAATAAACCTTAACATAATTTTATATTGAGTTTTAAGGACCTCTTTGAATAGTGGTCAAACTCTTAATTTTGTTGACATTGTGACACAGAACCTTTAAGTCAAAGGAGTAAGCTGTTTTTTCTCATATCGCCTGATTTTTAGTATCCTCTGTTTGGGAGAAGAAACTATTGATATAGTGATAGGAACTATAGATCTTACTATTTTTTAAATAGTTAGAAGCTTCTATATATAGAAACTTCTTGTATGCACATCAATATGAGGCTAACTATTTATTTATTTTGAATAGTTGGGTTAGACAACTATTCTAGTAAAGACTTTATTTTTGGTCGAAATTAAGTTTGCATAATAACTATTTTCATTTATGTACACATAGGGTACATAATTCATAATTAGATACCGTTAGTTTCCGTGACCGAGTTATTGTGTTCATTTTTTAAGTGCTTCTTAATTAAAATTATACGCATTTTTATGTTATTATTTTAATATTTTACCAAAAACTTCACATAACAATTTAAACAAGCTTCACAGATAATGAATCTATTATTTAAACGTAAGGTAAATAAAAGTATTTGGGGAACTGTATAGGATATAAAACTATTCACGTGACTTTCTACTCACATGACTTTTGTAAAATTGGTGCATAGCCGAAGGAAGAATGTTAAGGTCGTCACCCTTTCTGCACAATAACAAATCTTGCAAATTTTAACAATTAATTTTTAATAATTTGTGAAAACTTAAATATCTCCCGAAGTGCATTTCTCAAAGTTTGAATCTTCTTCAAATAAGAGAATGATTACAAATTTTCACCACAGTTCGAAAATGCGTACACTTTATTGTTACTTTCATTTTATTTTATAACTGGCGTTGAACAGCCGACCTAATTCTAAGTTTACGATTATCGGTTTTCAATTTCATAGCCTTGTAATTTTGAACCTAATAACCCAAAAAACAATGGAAATCCTGGATTGAGCATTGGGACAGATTAGCCTTCGTGGAGGAGGACTATGGATGGAATTAACTCGCATTTGCGTTACATGGAGAGGAATCTCCCTCTGTTAGCCCTACGGCAGGAGATTCTAACTCATGAACCACTGAGGAGATTTGTGTATCACCCAGCCACAGCTAGGATTTGAATCTGAGTCCGCTTATTTGTTACTTTCATTAAATTTTTTGAAGTAAAGAAATTTGTTGTGTGTGTACTGCCTTTGTCGTCTTCCAAAAGCTTTGCAAAATGGTAGACTGAGTTGGAAATATGAATTAAAGAAATTGGCTTTAACTTAAAAATAAGAACGAATAAGAATTATTTTTAATAGTTTTTGGACAAAAACGTTCTTAAGCACATTCAGGTGTGAACAAAATGAAAATGTAACTGATTAGTATATCAGGGGTCTATCCAGACATTTTGTGAAAGGTCCGTTTTTGTAAAATTGTGAAAAAATGACTCGTAATTTGTGAATATAAAATAAACGTTAAGTCACATTCTTTCAACCAGGGTCCGCTTTTGTGAATTTGTGCAAATGGGGTCCGTTATTGCAAAATAAACTTTTTCAAGGATTTTTTAAATTGTGAATAAATACAAGATTATACTCAACACTGTAAAATTATAATTAAAAAAATTACATTTTAAAAAATAAACAGCAATTGCAGATACTAAATTAGCGATGCAACATAGAAATATTTGGTATTAGCCTATACTGCTGAACGCAGAATATTCATTTCGGACGAATAAAGGAAGAAGCGTCTGCCGAAGACAAAATTTAGTTCGTTTGCATCTGTCTTCCTCCCCCCCCCCTCCTTCCTGGGAAGGGTTTATTCGATTAACAAAATAATAATGAAGATAAACAAATTTGTGAAGGGTCCGATTAAAAGATAAATTATTTTGTTTAAGTTAAAATATTTTGTGAAGGGTCCGTTTTTATGAAAAGATATTTTGTGAAGGGTCCGTTAACGGACCTAAATTTCTTCTAAACAGAACCCTGTATATGCATTAAATAAATCGAGCTGACCCCCATTCCCTATGAAAATTTTCTCACAACGCCTCTGCACATATCGTTCAAAAAATTTGCCGCCACTTTTTATTTTGTTTTATTAAATTTATTTATTTTTCTTTTTTGGAATGAATGAAGCTTTCAATTGGTTTTTACACTTTATGTAAGCAATCGATTTTTAAGTTACTAGTACTTTTCAGATTTCGCTTCATCGCGGTCATATTCCGTTTATCTGAACTATGAGAGTCACCCCTTTTGATTATTAACGAAAGTTTCTCCTGCACTAGTGCAATTGATCGTTGGATTTCCCGGAAGACTTAGGCATGCGCTTTTTCTACCGGTGGAAAAAGAAAGATTGACCGGATAAATTAGACGGGGCGAGACCTTGACCGACTTTCCTACCACCCCCCATACCACCTTTCCAATTTTCACAAAAAAGGGCGGAGTCCCAGAAGAAGAGGGAATTTTTGACTAAGAACGTTTTTTTTAATTTTTTTTATCATTATTATTTAATAACCTCCCTCTTTGTTCACTTAACTTGAAAGCTCATCATTTTAAGAGCTTAAGCTCCATGTCTATGCTGTAAAAGATAACAAATGACTTCTATTAAAAGTCTAGCTCAAAATTTATCGCAAATTTATCATTCACAGTTTTCTTGCTGTTCTTTAAAACTAAAGGGTAAAATTTTTAGTGTATTTTTTTTTTGTTATTTTTAAAGGTTCGCTGATATAACGATCAATATTCGCTGACAAACTTGATAATAATACTTCGATATCTCGATTAATTCATGTTCTTATTGTGAAACAATGATAAGCCACACCGTAAAGGCAAATTTATGATTAAATGTATTTTATTTTATTTTATACCCGGCGTTAAGCAGCTGACTCAATTATGAGTTTACGACTACCAATGTTCGAGTCCGTAGCCTTGTAATTTTAAACTCAACTCAGAAGACAAAGGTACTCTTGGATCAAGCATCGGGACAAAGTAGCCTTCGCAATAAACTTTTTTGATGGAACTGTCTCGCATTTACGTTATATTGAGGGGGCAAACGAAACCTCCCATGGTTAACCCGAAGGCAGGAGGATTCTAACCCATGATCTACTGAGGATATTTTATGTCAGCACTGTGATCGGTGTAAACCAGGGGGCAGAATTCATATCAACCAGCAACCGTTGGGATTCGAACCTGGGTCACCTAATTGGGAGGCGAACGCTTAATCCCCTGAGCCGCTACGGCTCTGATAAAATGTGTTATATAGTGTCGCATCCTAGCTGTAACTTCAGAAGACTTTTCTATTTGAATCAGTAGAGAGTAAAGAGAGGACAAAGTGGGCAACTTCCACAAGCTTCCAATTTCAAGAGAGTGTCCATTCTGATAACTAAGGACGCAGAAACGTTGTACCATTTGCTATTGTTTTATTATGAAACTAAAAAGCTTTTTGTAAATAAATATTTGTTCGAATCAGAATATTAGAAGAAGATAGAGACATGTTTCGTCAACAAATTTAATAATAAAATTTTAGGTCATTAAAATTTAAATATTTTTTAGTGTTAATGTTCTATGAAAAATAATAAGTTTCTTTCTATAAAATTATTACTGCTTACATACCCATAAAACTAAGTTTCAAACATCGTCTTAGACTTGTTCAATTATATAAATCTCTAATAATTTATTTATTTTTTAATAAATTGGGTCTATTTTCTGCCCCAGAGGTTACACTTTTCTTTTCAGGAGCATCTAATCAACGAGTTTGCCCCGGGTATCTAATTCACCGCCTTTCGCCATTGATTTGAATTATTTTACTAATTCGGCTTAACGTCACTGTGAAGCAACACTGTTTTCCCATGGACTCTATTCCGCGTTAGTTTCCGACAGTTTAAAGACAATAATGGCGCATTTACACACTACACTACCGCAAGTTGAATCAAGGTCTAAATAGTTGTATTAATTATCCGGTCACCGCATCACGCTCTTCAACCGTTTGTGAATCTTCTCTGATCTTAAACCACCGAGAACGCTATATTAGAGTAAATTCGGAACCAATTTGACTCGTGATCAGAGAAAGGACAATCCGTCAGGAGACCCAATACAAGAAATTGAATTCAAGACCATAACTATGCTGAAAGCGAAAATACTATTCAGAACAACTGGGTGGCAATATTTCGCAGCAATCACTATCGTCATGTGTTGTGTCTTCACAATTGATTGAAAACGGGATGGAGTACTTCATTACAATTTTTTTTAATTTTCCAAATAAGCATTAAAAAAAAGCAGTAACGTTGTTTTCGTTTATTGTTTCACAACATTATCTTATAATTTATTTTCTATTGTTGCACTTACACACTTTTGATACGGCCTATATTTATTGGAATATATAAAAAGTTCCAATTTTTTTTCATGAAATTTATATAAACTCGAACTTAACTACTATTTTAATTCCACATTAACGTGTGTTGTATCGTATAAGTAGATTGAAATAAGCTTGCCTTCAGTCAATGAAATAGTATTGACAATCGACGTGGCCATGCTGTTTATATAATCTCTGATTTAATTTTTTAAAGAATAATAATTAATATCGCTCTTTTCTTTTAATGTATTTTTTTCTATCTCTAAAAACATTTTTTAATTAATATATTGCAACAATAAAAAAAGAAGATAATGCCATATTTTAGAAGAACGCGTCAACGGTATCTGCTTAGAAAACATAATTCCCTTTCCTGGCTTCACTGTATTTACTCTAAACAGAAGGAGCAACTACATTTACAGGGGTAAAATGGCTTCAATTAAAAAAATGACGGATTTTTACAAAAAGTAAAAATATTTTAAAAGAGAACCCATTCTGATGCATATGTAACTGAATTTGTTCGCTTTACTGTAATTACACTGCCCTTTAGAACAAACCACATTTACGGAGAAAAAAAAGAAGAAGAAAAAGGGATATTTTATAAGACTTCGTTCAAGTTCACACGCTTATTGCGTGTAACTGGCTTTTTTTTTTCTTTCTTTCTTTCTTTTTTTTTTTAGCTTCATTGCAGTTATACTGTATGCAAAGAGTAACTTTATTTACAGGGGTTCAAGTTGGACAAATCATCGTTGTTCTTTAATAAGTGCAAAATTAAATGCTATGATGTTACATTAAATGTTATTTAGTCCTATAATATAATTTTTATCAAGTGATGGTCCAAAAAAAATGATGCTAGCAAAAAAGGTTTCTGCAACAATTTTTTCCTGCTTTTAAGTACGCACATCAAAAGTACGTGCGCTATTTTAATTAAAGTTTGGTCAAAGAGTTTTTTTTTTAAATAGTTTTACCTAAAGACAAGTCACATGTCACATTAAAAACCATGCAAATCCCTCATTACATTTTTATGAAACTATCGCTTTAAATACATCAAACATAAATGATAATTTATGTTTGATGTATTTAAAGCGTATAAGCGTGATGTATATAAATGATAATTTATGAAATATTTTCACACATTAAAGTTTACTATATTCGTTAGACGTTTCAGTATGAATTATCAATGTTACCGGTTTTCATTAATTTTCTATTTCATTTTAATGTTTTCTTTTCCATTGTAGAGAGTAAAACAAAATTTGCATCACATTTTGTTGTCGTTTCATTTTGATTAAAATTTTTTTATGTGTTCAGAGAGCTTTACAACTGATGCATATTTAGTACTGGGGTCATTTTGGGAGAAATTCTTGCCTGTTAACGGACTCTTCTCCTAACAGTGTATCTTTAAAACGGACCCTCTACAAAGTTATTTTACCACGGAAACAGGCCCTTCAATTTATTTTATCGTAAAAACGGACCCTTTGCGAAATTCTTGTTTTAAAAAACTGAGTTTGTGCCGTTTTAGCTCATATTTTTGAAACTACAACTCTTTGAAAGACATGATTTTTATGTTATTTTTTTTTCTCTCATAAAAACAGTATCTTATTTTCATATATTAACAGAAACAACTTGGCATGACGAACCCGTTTGTACAGTAATTTTAGATTCAGAAAATGAATAGATTTTCCATTAATTCACAAAAATCCTGAACAGATAGATCACTAGTTTTTGTCATTTTTTTTACAAAATCAAGATCTCAATTTCAGAAATTCTCAAAATTATGAGCAGACTTATTTACAGATATATACCCTGTAATAACTTATGAAATCTTTATATGGTGACTGTTATCTTATGTATCTTAATGCGGGGACATATACACTGCTGTTAGTTTTCTTTTGGGATAATTAAAATCTACCATAAAAACTGAACAAAAGCACGATATTGATTCAAAATAAATTAAATAAATAACTAATAAATTGTATAAGTTCAAATAATCCCCTTAGTCCAGTGTTTCCCAAACTGTGGTACACGTATCCCCAGGGGTACGGGAACATTTTAGCGGAGGTACGCGTTCTTATGCGAAATATCTTGCAACAAACGAAAATTTCAAAAATTTTTATTTAAAAACAAAGCTAGCCATGAAAATTTACGATTACGTATTTTTCTATTGGCTATTTATTTTTTTGCAGAGTTAGCAGTTAATAATTAGTGGTGTCAACAGCCAGTTGTGATTTGTAACTTTCGTGCAATTTTTTTGTAGAAAAAAATACATTCATTTTTTCATCAGAGGTGCACAGCTTAACGAAAAATTTAGAAAGGGTACACAAAACTCATAAGTTTGGGAAACACTGCCTTAGTCGGTAGTTGCAGCGTTCTCTTCGGGGAAATCCTGCTCTAAAGTTATGTATCTCCAGTTTTTGTTGCTGTTAGTCATTTATTAATTCGTGACGAAGCGTCAAAGACGGGACAAACTGCTTTTATTTTCCCGTATTTTTAAATATTGCAGTGGTATTGTTTGATTGTAAGAAATGTTGTGTTATTTTTTTCCATAGTTGAAACCAGTAAATGCGATAATACATCAGGATCTTCTCCTCCTAATGGTGCAATATTGCAATCATTACCGGGCATTAATGGAAGGTCTACTATACAAGAGGTAAAATAAGAATTTTTCTTAATATTGCAATTCTTTTTTTTCTCTATATTCCATTAATTGTCTTAGAATTTTTCGCAATATTTCTTGCACCACCATGCAATTTTTCTTCATAGTTCATTATTTTATAACATTTTATTCTTTATCTTTCAATTTTCTCAAATATTTCTTTATTTTTTTAACATTTCTTTCATTGTCATAATATTTTTTTTTCTCAATATCAATATTTCTTTCAATATCTTACAATATTTCTTAATCTTACTTTTTTTTATCTATATTATATTAGTTAAAAATTATTGTAGTAACGAATTTGTTTAAAAATAAACGATTCAGATTTTGTTTTTTCCATTTATAAGGAGTTAAAAATGATTTTTTTCTTCTTTTTGACAAAAGTATTTTATTGCTATTATGATTCTATTTTTATAAAGGTATACTTTATTTTCCTTAACTTTAAGGAGAAACTTTATGTAATTTTATTTCGACTATCTTAAAAGAAAAAAAAATTAAACGAATTCTCAAAAAAATCAATTACTGGAAAGATAGGGGTGGTATGACAAATACGTCTATCTGACGTCATGTGTGGTAGGCGGTCTCACATAAAATTTATTTTCGCTTACCGCCTTCAAACAGCCCGAAATAGAACAATTTCTATAAAAAAAAATTCGTCTAACGAGTAGGAGACGAAAGGAACACGAAATAAAGTAAGAAAATTACCGCTTCCTGTCCAGCTATTTTTAGCTCCAGTCGACCACTAACTTTGATTGTAAAAAATTATAAACAAAGAATTTCACTTACAAATTGAAGTGAACAACATGTTTACGGGCTTCTCTACGAATATACCCACCTAGGGTAAAAATAACATATTGATTTTAGTCTCTTTTTAAATGGTAGAGGAAAATGGTTGACATAAATTTCGCTACTTCGTTTATAAATAGCCCATACATTCCTTTTTCTAAATTTAAACTCTTGTTATGAGATTATATTTATAATCTACACCCACGAAAAATTTCTACTATGGCGTTAAAGGTTTATATTCTAGACAAATGATTTGTGATATTCTATTCTTGTTGTACTGAATTTAATATTAGATAGAACCAAAAATACCTGCTGAAGTGAAAAATAATTTTAACCTTTAAAAGTATCGAAATAACTTTTTATGCTTAATAGGTTTCTATTTAAAAATATAATGGATTAGTAATTGCTTAAAGTCTAGTTCGTTAGTGTTGTACATAATACTATAATCTAATGAGAGAAAAAATTTAGCATCGAAGCCTAATTCAAACCTAACTAAAACTTGTTATGTTCTTTTTATTCTGAAATGTTCTGTATAATGCGCAGCGATTAATTATAATATCATTCTTTAATACTTATGAAGTTATACAATTTTATTATATACTCCAGTTTTATTTTGGTCCCAGTAAAATTCAAAATTGCTTCTACAAAATTCATACTAATCTAGAGTTTATCCTAATGGATCTAGATAACCTCGAGCAATAAATATAGGTCCTATTTAGGTTGAATTTGAAAAATTTTGCTGAATAATTGTTATTAAATATCGAATGATTCTCACAATTACATATAGGCCCTATCTGAGCAAAATAGTAGAGGCGTCATTAGGCTTTATTTGGCCGTGATTTTCAAATATTGGTCCTATGATAGCCCATATAATAAATCTATAATTTAGACAATCTCGAAAAGAGAGTGTTTCTTAATTTAATCCATTTCTGATAAATTTGTTTTATGTTTATCTTCAAAAATATATCCCACAGCGTTTGAATAACTGTTCTTCTCGTTAAGTAATCTGCAGCGATACATAAAATTGGCCGCACATTTTCGTTCTTTATCTGCTTATAACTTTTTGGTGTTCAATAATTACCGCCTGAAATACATATTAATAAAATACTTATCAAAGACGAATCACTAGGGAGGAAGGTGAGATGAAGAAGATTAAAAGCAGTTTCCTTGCCTAATGAAACTCGTGTTTCTAGTTATCGCTCTTTAAGCCTTTTTAGGTTCCTTCGGCAATGAAACAGGTTTTGATGTTCTCATTCCCACTCTCTTCAGTTGGGATTCGTCGAATATCGATAGCGTTTTTGTTTTTCCCCTGATTAATTATTAATTCACGACCTCTAATGTGTATACTTGTTTACAATCATTTTAAACATTTGTATTAAGATCGGTCGTTACCAAACACCCTATATATTCTAGGGTAATTTAAAGAAATAATAAAACTGCTTAATTTCACGCTAATATGTTTTTGCTTTGAAAAAGTAATAAGATGAATCAGTAAATCAAGGGCTAATGAAACGAACTTTTAATTTTCAAGATCACGTATAAGTCAACAACATTTGGTGGTTACTGTTAGGGTTAAAGTAATAAAAATTACTTATCGATAAATCAGGGTTCAATAAAACGACCTTTAAGCTTTCTATAACACGTATGAGTCAACGTTTGGCAATTAGTTACTCACTTTTCTTTTATGAACAATGTGTAACTAATATCATATCAATTACGATATTCAGGGTTAATATCATGACAAATTCGCAAAAAATAATACATAAAAAATACGCCCTCTTATTAAAATGTTATTTTTATCCAAATTGTACAATTATGATTCGTTCTACCAAAAGTGTTTTTCTGAAATAAATACTCGTAAATTTTGCTCGACGTTTTACTATATCGTAATTGCATATCAACTCCACCCATTTTAGTGAGGTTAACATAACACATTAGTAGGTTTTAGAACTCGATGGAAATGACTAAGAAAAATTTGTTTTCTCAATAAATCTTAGACAGTAATTGCTTTAGAGTTAAAATATTATTTTTATTGTGAAGTTACTGTTAAGGTAAAAATTATTTCTAATGCGTATATTATTTTTTAATCTTTAACAAATTATTGAACTTTCGTGTAATAATAAAGGGTGTATACATTTTTGACGTCTTGTCAAAAATGAAGTTAGAAAAAACGTACAAATTTGGGGACGTCAATTAATAAAGTGAGAAAAAAATAGAAATGGTATCGAAACATGGAAAATCATTAACTAAGAAATAGAGACTACTGACATCAAAACTTGTTTGATTGCTGAAAAAATTGAAAGGCAGCTATTCATAGAAACACCATAAAATTTAATCTGTTTTTCAAACAGATTTTGTTGTTTTGAATTTCCCGTTCCTCGATATTAGATTTGTCAGATTTGAGAGTATTTTTCAGATTTTGATGACGTTTTTGTTTTTTACTTGCATAAATACTAATTTGCGGCTGCTAATGTGTATGTCTATTGCCCTCGTTTTTAACAAGGAGTTCAAAAGTATAAATTAAGGGCAGTCATTACGGAACACCCCGTATAATCTGTGAGGATCACTACCAGTTTAATTAACTTCAATTGCATACTCAGCATTTTTATTGTGTCAATATCACACTATTTTGATCATTTAAAACCCTGACAACCGTTATGTGAATGTTTTGAATATGCCATAGTTTCCGTAAAATCTTTAAAACGATTTCTAAATCTTAATAATTTTCAAATCTTTATAATTTAATGTTTTATTTATTATCAAGTAATAAAGAATGAATATGCGTAATGGGTGTAAATTTAGCAGTAATCCGAACTAGTAAAACCGCAGCTTAACTTAGCTAACTTAACTTAAAAATTTTGAAACCTTGCCAAAAATGATGTAATTTACGCATGTTGAGTCTATAACGTGTCATTGGCAAAAAAAAAAAATTTAAATCCGGCTTATTTCAAACACGTTTCCAATAATTTCTATTGGTTAGAAAATAAAGAAGAAAAGAAGTGGGTAAACGATTGATAGAATTACAATTTCAAGACAGGAGAAAATCGTTATTTTTTTACGCTAATAACCCCCTCAGTAAGCATCAGATATCCTCTTCTATTGAGGACATTTATTAAATTTTTTAATCGAAAAGAACAAACAAATTCATTTAAATATGTGGTGGTTGTGTTCAGGATAGGGGTTGATCTAGAAATTTTTCCGGGGGGGGGTCATAGAGTCATATTCCCCCCCCCTCCACAATTAATTTTTTTTAAATATTTTTTTGGAAAAAAAAACTGGGGTTTCTATAGCTAGTCTTCTCATTTATTTTGTTCATAATGAACAATACATAACTATGACGAATTTCGTTTTAATCTTTTGGATTATGATTCTTGAAACAGTGAAGAACATAATTAGATGGAGAAAAAAAAAAATCGATTTTTCCGACCTTCCTATGTGTATATGCCTCCTTAAATAATTTTTTTTTGTAAATTATTAAAAAACTTATAATTTTATTCTATTTGTAAAAAAAAAAATTTCTGGGGGAGGGGTCATGATTCCTATGACCCCCCCCCCGCTGGATCCGCCACTGAGTCATGAGAATAATTGATAAAGTTTATATAAATTTAGTATTTATTTGCATTTAAAATATTAAGTATAAAGAAGAGTAATATAAATGAGGACGTTATGCAACAGTTAAGATTCTTCTGACGAATGAGAAGTTAGAGTTAAAATTACTGATCATAACTGTCATGGTTACGATTTAGTTGAGTCGCCGCAAATATTTTTAAAAAATTTATATTGAACTCTAAAGATGCCCCTTTGTTGGAGACTTTCTGCCTTCCATTAGAAAAATCCTAGCATCACCCTCTATTTTAATTATTATTTTCCGTGCTGTATCCTAAATGCATGACTTTTGTTTAGAGATCACTGAAATAGATCTTCTAAATATGTTGTCACATAGATCTTCAAAAGGAAATTATTGCCTAAAATGCAAATATATGTTATTTTAAAAGTTAGCAGAATAGAATTACTCTTAACTGTTAATTAGAATAGCTATTATAATAAAAACTTCTTGATAACTATATATAAGGATGTGATAAATATGTATTTTTGATATTGAATTTTATATTGGTATCACATATCCATTGTGACCAAACTTTTAATTTCCGAACGGTTGCAGCTAGTTATACAAATGGTGCCTATGTATGATAAAGCGGCTGTGCACTAAAAGATGCGATTGCTTACAACAGCACCACCTGGTGGAATATTGCATTGTTAGCATTTCTATCATGAAAGCGTTACAATAAAGGAGAAAATAATCTATAAAGTGTATTGATTTTAAAAGAATGTACGTTTTGTAAACATCGTGTAAAAAAAAGAAATGCATATTTATGTTTCAGACTTTAAACAGTGGGACGTAATGAAACGATCTATGTGAAAATGTCTAGTTAACTAACATAAGACACATTTATTTCTAATGAACAACGCTAAGAGAAGTTTAGACATTGAAAATAAAGGTTTGTCGCAAAATTGAGCGTTTATTTTTGAAAGTGGTAGATCCATTTGAAGCTAAAAAACCCGTTATTTATTTATTCTTTTACGATTTTAATAAGCACTGCTGCATTTTGATGTTTCATAAAATTATAGTGTTAAAAGCATCATCCAAATAGATTAATCTTTGTCAAAGACTAACCCTTAAAAAATGGAGAGAAAAAATGGACTTATTCCACTTTTAAAAATAATGGCACATTTATTTTTCTGTTTGAAAATAACTATAATGTTAATAAATCTGTTAAATAAAAACAAATAGCAGTAACACGTTGTTAAATAACAGTTCTTTATTAAATTCCACAAGGTATCTATTTGTGTCAAATCTATCTGAGACTTTTTAATTCAATTTTATCTCCAATATCTCATATCGTTTTTGAGATAGAAATGGTAACTCCAAGTTTTTTCAGCATATAGATATAGCGCTTTTCACATTACCTCTTTGTTATGTATAGTCACTTTATAATACATAGACACCACTTTTGCTTCAGTAAGTACCTTGCATATTACTTAAAACTAACGAAATATCATATTTTAACAGAATGTAAATTTCATTTAACACTTAAAACTGTTTAGCATACCAAATTAGCATTTGAAATTGTGAAACGTTCTTTAACTATATTATCATTACTTTTTTTAGGAGAGTCCTACATCCTTATATAATTCAGTCAACAGTCCAGGTAGTATCAGTGATTTCACATTGTATTCATCACCATCTTTGCCAAATATATCATTGGGGAGACCTCCTGTACCTACATCTGCTGTAAGTTTATTTTGAAATTGTTATAAGAAAACATATTATGTTCTATAAAAATGTATTTATTTAGAATTTTATCCTTCTCTTCCATTTGAATTATTTATTACTCATATGTTCATTATGCTGTAAAAAAAAAATTCTCCCCTTTTTGTTTAAAATTTTAATCTCAATGCTCTTATAAATATCTTATGAAATTCAGCTTAAGTCACAATTTTAAAATTTCTCGTGTTTTAGAAGAAACAATCGATAATTTAAATTAGGAAACATTTTTTAACATTCAATTATTATTTATTACCAAGTTTCACTTTGACACAAATTTTACTTTTTGAACGCTTGAATACACAACTTTTAAGTGAAAGAATTTCAAGCTTTTGATGTTTCAAAATTCTCAATATATATAGTTTTCCATGATCCTCTTAATAAGCATTTTTATAATTGCTTTCCAAAAATGAAGTTCAAAAAATTGCATACATTACTAGATGCTAATTAATTATTAACTAGAAATAAAAACACTATGTAACAAATCACTATTGAGAGCATTGAAACCTGTTTGATTGCCGGAGGAAACAAAGGATTTGAAAGAAAAAAAAGAAAAAGAAATTCCGTCCTGCTTTCTTCAGTAGTGATTCATTGATTTCAACTGAAACATCCTTTGCATTTGTAGGCATAAATAATTATGCCTTTTAAATAAATTGGGGCTCATATTTTCAATGTAATGCTTCCTTTAAATAACTGTAATGTGCATTCTAGTACAGGTTACATTTATTATATTAAAATGATATCTTAACTTGTTATTTGTAATTTTTTAAGTATTTAGAAATGAAATGAAATAATTAATGATTCCTATTAGAAATTATGTTGCAATCCTTTTTCTTCTTTTAATCTTTAAAATTGCGAGCAAGTGAAGCAACTTCTCCTAAAAAGAAATTATCTATATCTTAAATTTCTTTGATTGACTTTTATATATAAATGTGATTTTTAATGCATCAATTTGAACAGAAGAATAATATACACCAATACTCATAACATACCCTCCCAAGTTCTTTAGGCGCTAAGTTGTAAACATCATTATTACTTAACCCTTTGCTTACGGTAAACCACATTGTACCATCGCATGTGGTCCACATGTTGTACCAGCCGTAAGCATAGGGTTAAAGAGGTCAACAGTACACAGTTCTTGTTCACTTCTGTAAAACTCTCACTTTAGGCATATGTCTCTTCTGCTAAGGGCGATAAAATGGTGAATTAAATTTTAAGTTTATTTAAATAATGAGCTTTCTTTCAATTTTATTTTAAAGCAACTTCTATTTTTATCATATTCTATACTGAATCTTGAACATTTTTTACGCACTCTACAGGAAATTGGTAAAAGTGCTGTACCAGCTGGTTCTGAAGTACAGGGAAGAGATATTTCCACCATAAGACTAGGAATGCCTCTTACATCAAATGTCTTACATTCTTTAACATATTACCCAGCATTACCAGGTATACTCTCTATTTCTTAAAAATCTAGTTGTCCAAGTAGCCATTAATCATGCAACAATTTTTTTAAACACAATAAATTTTTAATTTTAAATAAAATTGAAATTTTTTTTAAACATAATAAGTTTTTAATTTTAAGTAAAATTGAAAAGATATCAGCTTCAAACTATTGTTTTGTTTTACAATAACTTTGATTCTCTGTTAACTTAAATGCAGGAATACTTCATTGAAATCAATATATATTATATATTTAAATCATAATAAATATATTAATGTGCATGAAAATTTCTATATTTCTTATAATTTTTTTATTTTTTGTCAAATTTAATCTGTTTATAATTCATGCATAAATAAAAATACATTAATAAATTTAAATTATTATTTATAAATGCTTTAATATACAGCATGTTTCAAAATTTGACTCACAAATTCAGAGGGGTGATAATAGATACGAAAAGGATAAAAACTTGACATAGAACAAGGGGTAACCAACTACGTTAAGAGAAAAAAGGGATTTTCCAGTCTACAATGACATAAAAACGATTCTCGAATGCACATGGAGGTGACACCTATTCTTTTAAAGTCTGCCAAATCAATGACAAACCGTGCTATTCTCAAATGTGTCTACAAGTCTTGTGATTCAGTTTGACCCCATAGGAATAGTGATTCAGTTTGACCTCATAGGAAAAAGTTGCATGGACTGTGAAACAGGTCACACTTGCCCCATTCACGATTCCAACCCTCTGAATGTTGTTTGCTGCACCATGTTCTACAATCAGTTTTTATTCTATTAGTGTATTTTATTATCCCTCTGAATTGGTTAGTTGAATTTTTAGTTAGTCTGTATAAGTTTTATAATATATATTCTTCTAAAATTTTTGTTTATAGAAATAAAAATTGATCTATTAATATATTCAAGCATATAAATTAATGAATTTGTATGAAAAATTTATATATTTTCTAATTTAAAATTTTTTTTATTTTGATTGTTTTTTACAGTGATTGATGGAGACTTCACACCTCCAACAAGTCCAGGTTATATCCAACCTACTAAAATTCTGGACGGCTCTACTGGCATCACAAGTATGCTTAGAGTATATCCTACCACAATCACTGATGCACAAGTTGCTCAAGCCAGATTACATAGGTACGTTTGTTTAATCACGTAATTTAATATAAATTAGAGTCTATATGTTCATGGTTCATAGCTTTTTTAAAAAGAGCTTAAAAGTGCTTATCTTCGATTTTCGTTTTTTAAAAGCCCTTGCTTAATTTTCCTTTTTCGGAAATGAGATTTTTTTTACCCTGTCGATTTTCGCTGTGTATTATGCAAAAGTGTTGTTTTCACGTTGTTCTATACAACGTTTTCACAATTCATTCAACTACAATCCATTTCGTCAACCCGTTGGCCCGTAACGCGTGATAGCGCCAATCATGTTACATGTTTGATGAAATACTTGGGACTGACTACTGAGTTGGGTTCGGTGAGATTCTTGCACTCTCAAATGCAACTCTGCTGCATTTTGCAAGATATTCTCAATTTCAGGCTTCATTTTACACCCTCTGAAATCGAGCCAAAAAATCTCTGTATCTTTTCATGGTGGCTAATATAATCAAGAAAAAAGTTCTTTGTCAGTAACTAGTTATTTTATCATGATGATGTAAAGTCTTTGAAATTTATTTTGCATTTTGTTAATGTAATAGTACTTAAAAATATTTTTTGAGTGCTTAAAAAGTACTTTAAAGGTGTTTATTTTTTGTTGAGATATTTGATTATGCACCCTTTATGTTAATTTAGGATGAAATTTAAAATAAAATGTTAGTTTAGCTAAGATTTTTTCACTTTGAATACCCTTTGCCATCACTGTCATCAATTACTTCTGATTTCCTTCAAAGTTAGTTGATAAATATGTTCACATTAAAGTTGTTAATTATGCTTGAATGTAGTCTATAGTCTAGCAAGTTTTCTTTTTTTTTTAATGAACTGGAATGTATTCCAATCTGTTAGTTTCATAAGTTTATTAAATAATCTACCTCAATTTCAATTCTAGAACCATTCAAAGACCTCTTGGGAGAACCCAGTCAGCTCCACTACCTCTTGGTCATCCAATGCTACAACCACAAGCCATACTTTTATCACCTCAACAAAATGAACAATATGCTCGCGAAAAGAGACTCTGTGAGCAGCAGCAACATAATCTACTCAAACAAGTAAGAGGTCTTCTGATTGATTTAATTTGCAACTTCAAGAATTAAAATATTTTTTGTCTAAATCTTTTGTACATTCTTTATCAGTTTTTTTTATTTTTAGTTCTAAAATAAATACTTTTAGAACTTTTTTAAATTGTTCTTATTTTTTCTAAGTAAGATCTAAATTGAGTTTATAAAATATATACTATTACTAACAGGTTATGGAATATCAAGAAAGAAAGAAAAATGCTTTTGATCCTTTTTTTTAATAGTTAAATTTTAAAGTGTGTAGCTTTTATGCTGTTATCCCTCTCTAAATAAAGAAATCATTTCTAAATTATTTCTGTTGCAAACTTAGATTAGTCATCATGACAGAAATTGCTTAAATCAACTAATGTATCTGTTCTCTTGTAATTATAAATGCACATACTATGTTGTAAATTTATAATCATTATTATAGCAGTTTATATTTCATAACTGATATCTTTTCCAGCACATTCGACAAACTGTATTGACCAGAGCAAGCAGTAAAAACCAAGTAGAAAACGTTGAAGAAGAAACTGAAGCAGCAGTTGCTCAAGAAATGAAGGAATCTGGGCAGCCTGAAGTAATAGACTTGACAGATGGTCGAACGAAAGAGACAGAAACTTCACAACAACAAAGAGATAGAGAAATGTTCTTGCAACAACATCGTGACTACATGACAAAGCACACTCTACAAATTAGCGATGGTAAGTGATTTGCTTTCTCAGTTCCATTTTTTAAAAAAACGAATTCTATGTACCATAGTATTGTTTTGTTGGTATTATATACTCTGTAATATTTCCTATTAGAAAACATCTACGACTTAATCAGCCAATAGAGTATAAATATCAGATGTGCTCTCACACTTAGTGATAGTGAATGCTATTCTCTCTGTCCTTTCATTTATATATTTTTGTTGTTGTTTTAATTAATATTGTTACAAAAACTGAACTATCTTTATTCCACATCATTTAAATCACCTTTGCAACATCAAACCATCTTCCACAAATGGTGACCAGGACATAATTTGAACACGCCTATCTTGACAGTTGACCACTTTGATTTGAACACGCCTACTTCAATAGATGGTCCGCATTGAACGGTTGACTTGCTAATTGTGACTGTGACATTCTCCTCATCACGCTGTTGCTATTCAGTCTAAATTACACAATATTGCTCAGTATACACTCAACTGCTAATGACAACACAGGAGCTATGTATGATCTTAATGTAACTCTCATGACCAGCGATCAAAATCCAGTGAACTTAATATGGCTCTCCAGTCTATACACAAAACAGCAATGAATCAACTAGTGGTATTCTATCACAGATAAAATTCTGGTGAAGGGGTAATGTAGTGTGTCTACCACTACAATTATTTAATTCCAGTTCACTAGTATATAAGACATGTTAACTCAATTCAATGTTGGGATACCTTTTCATGGATGAAAATTGACATTGTCGATAGCACTTGTCTTTATGTAGTACAGTAGGGAACCGATTATCCGGAACGATAGGGACCATCGCTATTCCGGCTAACTGATTTTTTCGGTTTTCTAAATCGCTACAAAAAGCCGTTTTTTTNACAACAAAGAGATAGAGAAATGTTCTTGCAACAACATCGTGACTACATGACAAAGCACACTCTACAAATTAGCGATGGTAAGTGATTTGCTTTCTCAGTTCCATTTTTTAAAAAAACAAATTCTATGTACCATAGTATTGTTTTGTTGGTATTATATACTCTGTAATATTTCCTATTAGAAAACATCTATGGCTTAATCAGCCAATAGAGTATAAAAATCAGATGTGCTCTCACACTTAGTGATAGTGAATGCTATTCTCTCTGTCCTTTCATTTATATATTTTTGTTGTTGTTTTAATTAATATTGTTACAAAAACTGGACTATCTTTATTCCACATCATTTAAATCACCTTTACAGCATCAAACCATCTTCCACAAATAGTGACCAGGACATAATTTGAACACGCCTATCTTGACAGTTTCACCCACTTTGATTTGAACACGCCTACTTCAATAGATAGTCCGCATTGAACGGTTGACTTGCTAATTGTGACTGTGACATTGTCCTCATCACGCTGTTGCTATTTAGTCTCAATTACACAATATCGCTCAGTATACACTCAACTGCTAATGACAACACAGGAGCTATGTATGATCTAAATGTAACTCTCATGACCAGCGATCAAAATCCAGTGAACTTAATACAGCTCTCCAGTCTATACACAAAACAGCAATGAATCAACTAGTGGTATTATTCATCGATTCTATCACAGATAAAATTCCGGTGAAGGGGTAATGTAGTGTGTCTACCACTACAATAATTTAATTCCAGTTCACTAGAATATAAGACATGTTAACTCAATTCTATGTTGGGAAACCTTTTCATGGATGAAAGTTGACATTGTCGATAACACTTGTCTTTATGTAGTATATGTCTATGTAAAAATGTTAGAATGATTTAAAATTATTCTCCATACATTGGTATATAAAGAATGGGAATATTTTGTATGTAATCTGTCACCTCAATTACAATTTCCAAGGGGCCAAATGATTTTGAACTTGCAATTTTTTTTCGAAAAACATGTAGAGGTTGGTTACAAGTGATACCCTTTGAGATAGTCCCCCCTTCTGCGTTTTTTTTTTTTTTTTTTTTTTTTTTTTTTTTTTTTTTTTTTTTTAGTTTCTTGTGGGTCACTACTCGAAAATTGTCAAGACTTGGCAATTTTCTTCTTCCTTTGATCACGATACAGAAATCTTTCCCAATAAATTATTGATAAATACTCTAGATGCGAAACCTGCTGCTTTTAATACAAGGCATAAAGAATATATCTGCTGTATTAAAAATTTTTGTAAAAAGTTTAGAAATGAGAGCATATTCCTATTGAACTAATCGATATGTTTAATTCATAATTTTTCCGGCTTCACAACTAGATGACTCCAATGTTTCTATTATTTAACTTTATGAATTGAAAACAAATAAAAAAATTTTATAATTAAAGAAATACATACTTCAACATATATGTGTAAAAAAGCTTACTTTAGTTAATCATTTATAGGTACCTACATCAGGCATCATTTGGGAAGGCCTCTGTCTCGAACATTATCAAGTCCTCTTGTCGCTCTTAGTCCAATTGGAAGTCCTCAGGAAACGCAAGTTCCTTCTCCTCATACATTTACAACAGGTGCAAACCTCTTTCTTCAAAGAATAACTTCATAAAAATTATATTAAAAACATTTTGGATATTGCAAAGCAATACTTAAAAGAAAGAAAAACAAGCTATTGAAATCAGATGAATTATTAATGAAATCAATCAAGGATGGATTAAAATTTTAAAAAATCCTGGTTAGTTAAGACTGAAGCTGAAAGCTGGTTATTAATGAAGTGCAAGTACATTCCAGTAACTCTATTTAATCTGGCTTTTGATAATTTTAATCCCTCCTTCGCTCTGATTGACTTTGTAGATGATTTGATTACAAATTTGTTTTTAATCACTTAAGTATTTATTTGTGACCCCTTATTGTTTAATAGTTTGAGCTCTGTTTTTTTTTTAAAAATACCAAATTTAACTTTTTAACAGGTGTTGTGTACGACAGTTTAATGTTAAAACATCAATGTGTTTGTGGTAATAATGCTCATCATCCTGAACATGGTGGTCGCCTGCAAAGTATATGGGCAAGGTTACAAGAAACCAGTCTTCTTAATAGATGCGAGGTAAGAGGCAATTTCGAATATTAAAGAGCAAATTAGCATTTATTTTTTGTCATGTTCACAATATTTGCATTTATTTTCATTTGGTGTTTTTAATAGCCTTTGTCTATACTAAACAAATCTTATCATTGCCAAAAATGCGAAAGTAAACTCATTGGATATTTATCAAATTATCTCAAGAAAAAATTTTAGTGTAGATAAAAATATAAGAAAAGTCTTACCTAAAGAGAACCAACAAATATTGGGAGGTAATATATTAAGGAAGACAAAATGTTCTGTGTTTGAACTCAAATTGACTGAGTGTCATAAAAAATAAACTCGTATGAACAATATACTGGTCATATTTAGAAAATTGCCCTTATTGAAGAGTTTTGTATTTGGATATTTTGTATTGTATTCTAATTGTCTACAGTTAACCCTATTTAAATTCCTCAAAAGTATCCTTTATAATTTGAAATAAATAGAAAAGTATTAACTTAAATAGAAAAATATTAACAAATGTATGCCATTTTTGGGAGGGGGAAATGTAATTATTCATTTTTTTTAAATGCTTCCAAAAACAGTTTTACTTTTGCAAGATGCTGAAGAGCTTTAGCTTTTTTAGCTACTTCGATGAAAAATATACTAAAGCATTCTTGAACAAAATTTGATAGCTATATTTTAAAATATGTTATTTTTATACCTCTAAAATCTTATATCTGGCTATATTATACATAAACTGTAATGTTAATTTCTTTTAATGATAAGCTAATTATTAAATTACTACAATAGCCAGTCATTTATAAATAAAATTTTCCTTCGCCTAAATGAAATAGAATTGTTGAGGTATGTAATCGTATAAATTTTTAATCTTTCCAAAAAAGGATGTTATTATGATTTAAAGAAGACTGGAATGAAAGATCATTAGAACTACAGAGGTTATAAGTTTAACAAGCTTATATTAAGAGAATTCAATCCCATTGTAAATATATGAAAATAGGCAAAATATAGGAAATTACATGTAATTAAAGTTCTGTAATACTTAATGACATACATTCTAATTGGAAATATTTTATGTTATAAAATAAATTCATATTCATTCTCAATGTTTAAAAACTTTTAAATGATAACTTTTTTTTAATTCTTTCCAGAGAGTCAGATCCAGGAAAGCAACCCTAGAAGAAATTCAGTCTTGTCATAGGTATGCTTTGAAAAAACTTTTAATGTGCATTTTTATAACTTATATTAAATCCTAAATTTACAGTTTATTAAAATATTACATTTTCTTTTTATTTGCTTGTTTAGTGAATCATATACTCTCTTATTTGGGGCCAATCCTTTGAATCGACCGAAACTTGATGCCAGCAAATTAGGTATTAAAATGGTTTTTGTTTTGATAACAGTTTTATGATTATTCATTCATACAAAGGTTGAAAACTTTTTTTTACATTATATTAAAATTAGATTACAATATGTGGTGAAACTAAACAGTTTATTGTTGCAAATACTTTTTTTTGTAAGTTTTTAAATTTCACCGAGATATACATTAAGCTTAAATTTTAAAATAAAAAGAACCAAATCATCCAATTCTTTTGTTTGTTTCAAGCAATTTCTTGTTCATATTTAATTTTAATTAACTTACCAAGATAAAAAATTGAATAAAAGATAATCATGAAGTTGGAACTTAATTATTTAAGCACTGTTTCAATTCACTAATAAAATTCTGTGTCAGTCAACTATATGATTTGAAATTATAAATCTTTTCTTTTTTTAATAAAGAATTACTTAACCTCTAACTGCATGGAAATACATTTCTCAGTTTAAATGGGTATAAAATTAAAGATTTTTAATTTAAGAAACTGAATAATATAATTATTTTATTTAATTGAAATTATTGTTTGTAACCCTTTTAATTTAAAATGGAAATTTTAAAAAAATGTTTAAAATCTAATTTTAATGTAATTTGAAACTTTTCTTTTACTTCAAATGACTTTTATAAGTTTATAATTTAATGATAATAGTAATTAAAAATAAAAGTTTAATATTTAATCAATTGCAGCTGATCTTCCAATGAAGAATTTTGTGATGTTCCCTTGTGGTGGCATTGGTGTAGATTCTGACACAACCTGGAATGATCTACACACAGCAAGTGCTGCAAGAATGGCTGCTGGATGTGTTGTTGAATTGGCCATGAAAGTAGCAACAGATGAAATAAAGGTATTATAAATATCTACATTTTAATACTTAATAGTTATGCAATACAATGATAAGCTTATTATCAATCATCATACAGAAAAACATTACTACATAAATAACCTTGAGAAAATTTTGTATATTATTAAAAAATTTAGAAATGAAAGGACTTTCCCACTATAATTTGATGTAAAATTTAGTTTTTGCTTTACTACATCTTTTAAATCAACTAGTTAGTTTGTTCATTACTTCTATATGAATAATTTTGTTTTTCTTACATTGTTTCTTTGTATATTTAATTTTGTTTTCCTTCAAACATAACTTTTTTTTAAGACAAAAGTTTTTAGGGAGTTAGATACTTTAAGTCACTAAAGGACAAAACTTACCGAGGAGTTGAAGCAATAAAATGCAGTAACAGAAATAATTTCATCATTACATATTTTAACTAAAGGGGAAAAAAGCACCAAAACATTTGTTAAAACAATTTCAGGAAAAAGAGTAACAGATTTAATAGTAACAGCACTTTTTAAATGAAATACTTATTTTGATATTTTAAAATAATTTATGTAAGAAACTTCGAAGATCAATTGATCTTTTTTCCAAATACATTTTTTGTTTAGCCTTTTTTTCAAGATTTATACATAAATCTAGAAATAGTTTACTTTCAATAAAATATTTTATTTATTTGTAGAATGGTTTTGCTATTGTCCGTCCTCCTGGACATCATGCGGAGCATCAACAAGCAATGTAAGTTTTTCTTGAATGCTTTTTATTGAAATATATATGTACGTATATCGTATAATAATAACGTGTAAATATATCATATAACCATATATAAATTACAATAAAGATATATTTTAACCGATATGAATTGCATTTATTCTGAGATTTCTAATTAACCTGTAGCAATGTTACAGTCATCACACTAACAAAGATAATTTATCATGTTACATTTTTTCCATACAATAAAATAACCTTTAATATTTATAATTGATTTAAAATTACCTTCTTAAATTCATTAAAGTATCAGAAAGAGTACCAGAGAGAGAAAAGTATCAGAGTGATCAGAAAAAAATAAGTTTAGCTATGCATGAAATAAAAGGTGTGCTTCTAACTTAAAAAAAAAATGCTATTAAAATAAAGGGAAGGAAATTATAAGGGGAATATAATTTGAATTTAAGTGGGAATAAAATAATTAGGGGGATTATGGTCAAAGAGCAATTCTCATTTTCACATGGAGCCTTCTATTCAAGATAAGAAAAACAGTGGGATTATTTCATAAAAAGAATTTACAGAAATGTTTCTCAAACCTTCTAGGAAGTAAAAAAAGGCCATTTCATACAAAATTATGACTTCAACTAATATAGTGATTGTTATCTAGATACTGATGGACTTTTTAAAAATAGCTTATATTAATCATAGAATACTTTACTTTGTTAATAGTTTTGACAGTTTATCTTCATCATGTTTCGTTTCTAGCACTTTTTTTCTCCAGTACATAACTACAAAAATAATTTTAAAATTCAGCAAAAATGATTAATGCCCTCAAAAAAAGTTCAAAAATTTATTACAATATTTTAATTAGTTTATCAATCTATTTTCAAAGTTTTACTGAATTTAAATATATTCAAAACTGTCTAGGATATATTTGTGGAAATTGTTTTAATATTTTCTTTCACATAGCTATAGCATTAGTTACAAAAATCTCTCAAATTTTTATTTTTAAAAAAGAAAGAAATAATAGTAATTAAAACATTTTCATTTACATTGCTTTCCCTTCAAAAAATTTTATTATATTTCTATATTATTAAAGCAGAATGAATTTTCTCTATAAACTAAGATTAAATTTTTACTCCAACATTTTTTAATATTACAGGGGTTTCTGCTTCTTTAATTCTGTAGCAATTGCAGCAAAACAGCTAAGAGAAAAGCTGAAGCTTGAGAAGATACTCATTCTAGATTGGGTAAGATTTGTTTGTTAAACTAATGTTCTAGAAAAACATCTTTGTTGTGCTTGTTTTAACAAGAAAAGTGAAACATCCAGGAAAGACCACCTGTAGCGACCACATTTATTTATGACCACTTTTGAGATGCACAGAATTTTCTTTATAGTTTTTGTGTCAAACAAAATCTTAAGGAGAGATCATTAAAACCTCTCCTAGGGACTGGGAAAACAGCTGCTCCAAATGCCAGAAAAGGTCAAATAAGGAAACACGTCAAAAATCATAACAAAACAAATAAAGTAGATTAAAATTAAAATGTATTCAAAATATTTGTGTGAGGTTCTTAATTAGAGAGCTCTTTTTGACGATGCAACTCATGTCGCAGTGAGAGTGCACTAAAGGCAATGCTATCAATAATTTACTTTAAGCGTTAATTTTTTTGATTTAAAAATTTATACACACTTAAACGAAAAACAAAATTGTTTATTAATTAAAATAGCTAAAATTGGTAAATTTATTTTTACACATAATTATATCAGTTGGGATCATTTTTATTAGACGCTAAATTTTATTCATCGCTCCGTCTTTTCATGACGCCAACAGAAGTGGCATTTCCGCCCCAAGAAAATTACACTAACTAAAATTGAAATTGTTTGCAAGAAATCACGTACCTTCGATAACAATTTTGAAGTCAATAGAGGTAACCTCTAAGAATGACCAACCTCCACCAACGATCATTTTACTGTGGAACGGAAAGTGGTCGCTCATGAGAGGTTTCACTGTACAAAGTTTTCTTATTATTTTTGATTGTGCTAGTGAGCTAACTGTGCACGAAAATGTAACTTGATGTTTATTTATTGAAGGATGTTCACCATGGGAATGGACTTCAACAAATATTTTATGATGATCCACATGTATTATATATTTCACTGCACCGTCATGATGATGGAAACTTTTTCCCTGGCACTGGAGCAACAGAAGAAGTAATTAAATAATATTTTATTTATAATTTAATACTTAATTTTTTTTATTATTTGTGTAATGAAAGCATTATTAGATGTTAAAATTTATTATTTACTTATGGAAAAAAATGTTTCTAGTAAGGAAACTAATAAGTGCTATTATAAACCTAACCAAAATTGCTTTAGTTGAATTATCTCTTACAATCTAAAGAGAATTGAGTAAAACGTTTTACAGCTTGTTTATATAATGCAATCGTTATTCTTATTAATATATAATGACTTATTTAAATTTTAATTAGTTTCTCTTGAAATGCATTCTATGTTAGTTAACTAATTTAAGAACTTGTATGTTACTTTGAAATAAGACTAGGCATCAAATCATGATTTTACTTTATTTATATATTTTATTTTTAATGAAAACTTTTTAAATGTGGTTTTAATCTCAAAACTTTGCAAGTTTTTAAGCAGTTTGAAAATAAATATTTTCAACTTTTTTCTTCTTCAATAATTTAGATAATTAATAATAAGACTTATAATAAGACTAATTTGATCCCACTATTTTTGTATTTAGTCACTTTTTGCATTAATAATCTATTAGCCATTCATATGCTTTTTTTTATTTTTCACAAAAGATTTTATTTCTGAACTTGTTCTCTCAAACTTAAAAAAAAAACTAATATTTAAATAGATACTAAACAACAAACTTTAAAACATGTATTAAAATTTGCACAGTCAGTTAAGTAGGTGATGAATAGCAACCAGCATTCACACATAGCAATGTACACATTAAGTTGTAACTGAAAGTATTCTCATTGATGTGGTTTGTAACTTTGGACAGAGAGGAACAAGCTTAGTTACTGTTCACATTTAGAGACTGGGGTATAAATTATGCGAATTCTCTTAAAGCCCTAGAAAGATAGAGCCTTGAATATTGGATACGGTTGGATAGTGTGTGCTGAAATTATTGTAAAAAAATTTTCATGAAACTTTTACTTCAATATTTATATTAAAAAATAAAATTACATTTGTTATATCTCTAACGAACTAAGAATTTTAAATGAAGGAATATGTTACCCCATAAAAAAAATATTTTTGTCTTCATGTTGTAAAATAATGATTTTGAGAAAATACACTCAATAATCAGTTGAACAACATTTTGAAAATCTTTATATAAATTAAGATATAACTCAAATGTTGGGACTTGAATTGAATGAAATTCCAAAGGAGAAAGTTGTTGTTTAGAGGAGAATCACTGATTTAAAGAGTCAAATATAAACTTATATCCTTGTTATATTTTTTGAGCACCACCTGCAGAATCTATTAGTATATTGTCTTGAAATGCTGGATTTTTCAGTTGGATAAATGCAGGAACAGCTTCCCAAAAAAAAATTGGCAAACTTTAACTAAATCACAAATAATAACTAGTTCCACAATTTTTTCTGCAAGTTTTTAATGCCACTGCCTCCTTACTATTAAGAGCAAATTTCTCACCAAATTTTTCATTGAGCCCCACAAACCTTCTCACAAAATATGTTTGAATGCTTTCTTGCGCAATACTTTCCTTCAGATACTATAATCATTCATTTTAACTTTTAGACAAACTACTTCTTTTTATACCTGCTATTTAAACACTCATAAGAGGATAATTTTATATTTTTGACAATTTAGGTAGGTACAGATGATGGTATTGGTTTCAACATTAACATCGCTTGGTCCAATGGTTTGAATCCGCCACTAGGAGATGCTGAATACATGGCTGCTTTCAGGTAAGTTGAATTACATTTCTTTGAGACAAAATTAGAATTCTTCAAATCCAAAATATTCGTATTAGTCATAAATTTAAAAAAATTATAATTCTCACTTTTAGGTCTCTTATAATACCAATTGTGCGTGACTTTGATCCTGAAGTAATCTTAGTAGCTTCAGGATTTGATGCTGCATGTGGGCATCCAGCTCCTCTTGGAGGATACAGAGTTACACCTGCTTGTAAGTACCTCTACTGCTTGATAATTCTGGTTTTAAAAGCAACTCAGTTCACTTTTTTTTTCAGAACTTGCCTCAGTTAGTCAGAACTAATCTTTAATATCTTTCTATGGTTTTTATAAAAGCAGCTTTGGGTGGAGTTTTTTTTAGATTTTTTGTTAAGTTTCTAACAATGAAATGTGTGGTGGAAAAACCAACTAGTAATTTCTGGTGGAAAGGCTGCACTGTCTTATATGCCGCACCAGTAAAAAACGTTTCTAATATTTTTTACATCATCACCGCACTTCCAGATTTAGATTTAGTCTCGATAATTTTTTGCCACTATTAAAGGGAAAAAAGGCATTTTAAGCGCACAAAAGAAAGCGAAAACTGCTAATTGGCTGCAATTGAACAGAAGGGGTTGAAAATTAAACATGGTGAAACTTGATTTCCAATGTGACACTGATGTCCTCATTAAAAACAGCTAGAATTTTTTTCTCATCCTTTCTCTCTTCTACACCGACTTGCTTAGTCCAATCCCAAGAATTATTCTCACAGGTGTGAGTTTCAATTTTCACTCAGGCTTTGTGTCTTTTCTTCGTCGCATGATTTTTTTTTTTTACTGCATGTAATTGTTATATACTCTAACAGACTTTTTCCAAATCTCCAGTTCTCAAACATACAAGTAATTATTCTCACGTTATGCATTAGAATTTATATTACAGTCAAAGATGATGTACAGTTCATCGGTTATTAATAATTTGTTTTACTGGAATGGGAATAATATTTAAATGAAAAAATAATAGTTAAAGATGAGAATTATATACCATTTTTTGAACAAATAACATTGATTCGCTATTTTATAAATTTTTTAAGCAAACATTTATTTTTGATTAAATCTACGTTGATCACAGAATTCTTGCGTGAAGCTCTAAAACAATTAAATCACTGGATAGGTCTCACCAATGGATAATTGGCACTTCTTACTTCATATAAACCGTGGCATATATACCGGAAATTACTGTACTTTATGCAGTTACTGTATTTCAAATAAAGTTTTAGTTTCTAAACAAATGTCAGTCACAAAAATTATTTATTTTGAATAACTTTTGTTTTCAGGTTTTGGTTACATGACTCAACAACTAATGCATTTTGCAAAAGGAAAAGTTGTTCTGGTTTTAGAAGGAGGGTAAGTAACATATACATATTAAATGTCTTACTTAGAAACTAAAATAATTACCTCCAAAAAATTTCTTTTTAGCTGAACTGCTTTCATCTCTATAATATTCTATTTTATTTTATTTATAATACACTATTTAGTACCACGATTTCCTATTTCTGTAATCCTTCCATTAAAACAGCTGATACGGGAAGCAGCGTTTGCAATTCTAAAGATGCAATGTTATTTTATTCCTATTAGAATGCCTAAACTGAACCACTTATTGAATTTAGTGACAAAAATTTTGTTTAATTTTCTCTTAATTCCAGGAAAATCACTCCAAAAATAAACATATTTGCCTTTTGTTTATAACAAACATTTTTCCATTGGCAACATATCAATGAATAGTAAAAGTCTGGAGGAAATTATCTAAACTGCTATTTCCTTTGATATTACTGCTCAATTAATGTGAAACCTCTTCAATTCTCTGTGAATGAAGAAATAATCATTCTTATCCTAGGTGTAATTTATGGTAAAAAAAGATGGGTATTGCCAATTATTTTTCTGTATTGAGAAATAGAAGGGTATATTACATCCTCGTGTGGAAATAGGAGTTTCTTGTGTGCATTCATAAATCATGACCTCTGCAAATTTCTTTACAAAGGGTTAAAATCTTCATTAATGATATGTTATTTTTGTTTAAAAACTGGATTCCCTTTTTCTATTGAAGTATTGTAAAAGATGGTTTATTTTGAAATTACAACACAGTATTATTCTAGATTTTATTTTTGCTTAGACTACAGTTCCCTGGTATATTATTAAGCTAAAATGTTCATAACCAGCGTAATGTCATATGCTTAGAACAAATATTAAAAATCTTGAAGGAAGGGGATAAAAAATAAAGATTTATTAGAAGAATAAGTCCGGTAATTATAGGTTGAACGCATATATATATTATAGCTTTGTAAAGTCACAAAATAGCGATTCCACCTCATAAAATCCATTTTCGTTTGAATCACAAGAAGTCGCCTTGTCAAGTGTCTACTGAAATTTTTTTCCCTATTTTCAATTCTACAAGCTTGCCAACAAAATATCTTTTCATTTCATAGAATTTAAGAATCTTTTAGCAATCAATTGCTGGTGGTATCGTTTTTGAATCATCATTTTGTTTTAAGAAAACCTTTCTTCAAATGTTATTTTTTTAGCACTAAAACATTTATTTAAATATTTTGCAAAGAATTTGGAAGTTAATACATAAAAGAGTTAAGAATTCAATAAACTGTTTATTCCTTTTTTTAAATGTAACCATTTGTGATCTGATTGAAAAACTAGGAATGAGTAAATTAATCACATTAATGAGATTGTTTAACCCTCTTGGTGGCGAGCTTTTAATAGATTTTCTTATGAAAATGCTTTCTCTGAATTTTAATGACATAGAAATATTATAAACAAAACATGTTGATTAGTATTTATTGGTGCATGTTTTTGATTTATCAAAAAATAAAATAGTTCTTTTCTTTCTTTAAACAGCTATGACCTTCCAGCTATATGCGATAGCTCTCAAGAAGTTGTGAAAGCATTGTTAGGAGAAGAATGTACTCCTATCAAAGAGGAAGAAATGCAACGTAAAGCTTGTCAGTCAGCCATAGATGTACTTCAAAAAACTATAGCTGTGCAAGGTAATTTATTTATATAATTTTATATTCATTATTTTATATCAGTTGGTCAAATTAAATTAAATTGATTAATTACTTCACTTGAGTAATAATACACTTTATTAATTTGATATTAAACCATTATTATGTTGGTTACTGAGTAATGATGATTAACATCAATACATGCTAATTGCATTGCATTGATTCTTTCTCCTTGTTCATTTATTAGAAAACATGTGGCTTAAATTTTTCCAGTGCAAACTACTTTCAAGATTAGAACATGGGAATGATAAATTTCTAATTTTAGGAACTAATCAATTCAAATTTCTTCTGCTTGCAGAATAAAGGGAGGGAGCAAGTGTCAATTGTATGTTTATTAGAAAGCAATAGGCTAAAATTTAGTTGATTTTAATGCTTTATTAAGTTGATTACCAAGCTCCCTAAATTGGAAAATTAAAATTATGAATTTAATTCCCCGGTACAGTATATATATATTATACATTTTTGATTTTGAAACCTTTCTGATGCACTGAAAAATTATAACCTCCTGAATAAATGATTAAAAGTCTCCTTTTTATATTATTTGTATTGCAATATCTGAGCAAACACATATCTGTATCAGCAATAACCTATTAGAAAAATTATATGATTAGAAAGGAGATTATTATATCGAAAACTAAATTTCTAGAGATACATGTAAGCCATTAAATGAACTAATTTGAATCTATGAGTCGTAAAGGGGAATTTTTTTTTAAATAATGTTGTTGGCAATAGTAAATTTGAAATGTTTGTCAATTTCCATGTAAAAAAAAATTTTTTTTGTAATTTTATTTAATTAATTTTAGCAACACATTGGCCTTGCATCAAACGATGGGCACACACGCTTGGTTATTCTGCGCTAGAAGCTCAGCAGAAAGAAAGAGAAGAGGTAGAAACTGTCACTGCTCTAGCATCCTTATCAATGGCAGTACCACATGGCCATATCCAGTTAGTAAAATTTTTATTCCTTTTCAACTAACAGCGTAATACAGTTAAACTCGCTTATAACGAGCCCTGATATAACAAGAACCCAGTCAAGAGAATTTCAGATTTAATAATAAAGAAATTGGAAATAAATTATTGGAACAATGTTAAGTCAATTGGAGATTAGTTCTCTTTCATCGAGCAAACCTCAAATTTAGCAAGTAATATTTCTGTGATTAATAAAATTTCTGCAAATTTTCACCTTTCCAGCTCAGCTAATCCTTATTTGGAAAAATTAGTTTACCATTCTAAGGCCAATTAAAAATTAGTAATGAGTCATAAATCTAGCAAACACATGAATTATTATTTTTTTAAAAAAAAACCTAATGTGCAAATGATGTTTTTTGGGTTATGATCGGGTTCTTATCCTAAGAAACAGAGACAACAAGTCAGTTTGACCAATTTCTTTCATACTGTACAAAAATACAAATAAATAAAATAAGTACTATATTTATAGTTTTGTAAGTATATATGAACTTTTATGATTTTTACATTAACCCATTCTTTACCTGCACTCCGTTATAGCTAGTAAATATTGTAGTCCCTTTGCACGCATAATAAGCGAGTTTGACTGTATATATTATGAAAGCTAAAAACAAGTTTAAGATTCTACATTTATTTTTAATATTTTTTAACACATCTGGAAATTAAATAATCTGCTTAAAATATACATTAGAATAATATACATTAATAGTTTTTTTCCTACCCCTTCCATATAAGCTATGTTTTATCTTTTATTCCATGAAATGTACTGTTATAACATGTTACACAAAAGTTGAAAGTTTTTGCAGTAATTATTCTCTTTAGTGTTGGGCCTTCCAAAAATTTGTTGAATGCAGTTCAAAATTAAAAATCAAATTGGTATAGTATTCTGACATTACCATTTTTTTAAAATTAAATATATATTATAACATAAAAATGCAATAAAAGCAATAGTATTAGTAGTCAATAAAATAGTGCCCGTAAACAGCGGTCTACAAACCCCATGCACATGGCTGCCAAGGTGCGAGAAACCATAACGGAAATTGTTCACAAAATATTTTGTAAAACTTTACACTAATAGAAAAAGCTGTTACTGCTGCTTCTAAATTTGCCGGATCCTAAAAGTTGATTCTGACATTAAGAAATTTTGCATTTTTGCAGACCCTTGCTATTAAAATAGATAAAACATTTTCACATAAAAGTTATCCAAAATAGTTACTACAAACAGTTTACAGGAATTCTTTACCCCACATTAGTGAATAAAATCTTGTCAATCATTGGATTTATTAATGATAAAAAGCATTTCAAGTCATGTTAAGGCTGAGCAGATGGTTTATATTCTGTTTCAATGATAGTAAGTGCTAAAAAGATATCCTGAGATTATAAGAAATGGAAACAAAACTTTGATAAGTAAATTATCAAATTATTTAGGAACTGGAAGGTACCAGAACACCAAATTTTGTTATTAATCCAAATCTTACTCTTAATAACTAGTATGCACATATTTTTCACGTTTAAAGCGTAATTTAACTAAAAAAAAGTTGAAAATTTTAAATAAAAAATAATTATAGATTAAAAATTCAGTATTCTGAGAGGATTTGGTGGTCATCTCAAAGATCACAGTAGTAGATGAGCTTGAAGCCCTTGTTCAAATGCAATGCTCATGCATTTCGAAAATTACTGCAGCATCAATTATTACTCTTACAATAGCTAAGAACCGAACTAATATAATCAGCAATAAGGATCATACACCTAAGAATAAAAAATAAAAAAACTTNAGTTTAACGAGGACCAATACCGCATAACCTCGGTCCCTACGCAGACTGATCCAAGTGGTCACCCACCCGCACACTGACCGCAGCCAGTGATGCTTGACTTCGGTGATCTGCTGGGTGTCTTAACAATCAGTCCACTGCGGGACCCACCTTAAATTGAACTAATATAATCAGCAATAAGGATCATACACCTAAGAATGAAAAAAAAAAACTTTGTTTTTGACTGGGTGACATTTTAAATTAAAACAAAATAAATTTTATCATAAAGATATTTTAAAGAAAATTTATTAATTCCCATAGTGCACAACTGTTTTTTATTGATGAGGATATGAGATGCACAATACTTTTCGGGAGATGCATATATATTGTATTAAAGAAAAACACATTTCCTCTTTTTCATAAAGCAAGTTCCCCTATTAAAATTTTTTATTTTGCCACTAAAAAATGTTTAAAAATTTAAATATATATTTATATATATAAAAAAAAACTTGTGATGAATTGTTCTTTCATTCACTGCAACAATACACATTTTCAAGGAATAAAATTAATAACTAGCAAAAAACACAACCCATTACTCTAATCACCTTATAATGATTTACCTTGCAACTGCCAAAACAGCAAGAATTTATTATCAGATAGAAAAACGTATGACTGATTTAAGATAATAAACACACCTATTAAAATATAAAATTTATATTAATTTTTTTTAAAAATTTAATGCAGAAGTCCAGAGTCTAAGGAAAATGAAGAAGTGGAAGAACCAATGGAAGAGGATCAAGAAAAGTGAAAATATGAATTTTTACACTGGAACTGTGTTAAAAAAAAGACTGATAAAAAAAAACTTTTTCTGGACTATGGAGCCAGTTATTTCCGCACAAAATATACATGTTTTTTCTCTTTCGTTCTTGTCATTGTGGCACTAGCGTCATATTCTTCTGCAAACTGTCCATAAAAAGGAGGCTTTTGCCACAATCTTGCAACAAGGAAAATATATTATCTTATGAAAATATATTTGTACGAATGAATGATTAGAGGATAAAGAATGGATGAAACACATGAGTCAAACTCATATCAATATATTTGTATGAGTGAATGAAAAGAGAATAAAGAATGGTTGGAAGACATGAGTCTAACTCAAATCATGCTTTTATTTTCTAAGAAATGAGATGTTTTAAACTGTCAACTTTCATTAATGAGATGAATGTTTTTCCCCCAAATGAATTTGTACATCTCATCTGTTTATTTAATGGCACTGTTCCAAGCCACATCACACAATTGGGTTCAAGTTTAGTTTTCTAAAAATATTTTCCTCAGTCCCATTTTCAGCAAACAAGTCTGTTTTAATATTTATTTAGCCACCTATTTTGATGGCAAGGTTGAATGTCATGGGTCCAATGTTGTGTGAGTTATCTTGTTGATTTTTGTTGTTGAGAAAAGAAAGTTTAGTTATTACCAGTGAAGCATTATTCCTCTATGGCAACGCTGTATTATTTATCTGTAAAAATATTATATTAAATATGCCTGTCTGAAAATTCATTGTGCTATATCAGATTTTGAAAGAAGGTACCTAATTCTGCAAAAATAAATAATATGTGGCTATGCTGTATTATTTATCTATAAAAACATTACCATTAAAAAAAATTGATGTGTCAGCAGCCTGAAATTGTATACCTGTATTGGTACCTGATTATGCAAAAAGGAACTTTTGAAAGTATTGCAGATACATTTTTTCTAAAAATTTCATTATTTCTGTACATTTTACTTTCATTATTCTTTGTAAAATTCCATCTATAAACTCCATTCATTGCTTTGTAAATAGCTGTTATGTTTAACTTTTAAATGCTTTTGAGTTTAAAATGAACTATTTCTGTGTTATTCATTTCTTATAGTCTTTTATCTTGATGAAAATATAATTGTTCTACTTTTCAAAATTTATTTATTTGTTTGTTATTTTATATTTAAGTGTTTTTAGAAATAAACAATAAAAAACTCGGCACATTTGGCAAATCACCTTCTTAAATATATACACCAATGCCAGTTCAAATTGCAATGTTTTAAAGAATTCCAGTAAAAAAAAAATTATTACTTAAGAAGTTATAAGCTATTTCAATATATTATTTAATATAATTTGACTTTTTATCCTTCCCATATTGCTTCAATTTAAAACAAATGTATATTAGTCTCTTAGCTGCCTTTTGGGTTATATAATTTAATCAGAAACTAGTGTGTACAGCCATAATGACCTATCAAAATATTAATTAAACATTTATGTAAGAATAAAAAATACACATCGATTTAAGTAAAAAATTAAAACAAAAAAAAATTTAAATATCTGTTTATTCAAGCATTATTTTGTGAAATAATTTTATATAGTTATTAAATTTTTTTATTTTACAATATTAAAAATCAAATTTTAATGAATTTTCTGCATTATTCACAATTAATCTATTGTTAACAACAGACTCGTGCATAAAATGATGTGCATAGTACCGTTAAAATTTTAAACAGCAATTTATATAATGCTTAAAGTATGTGTTAATTATTCATTATAAGTAGAAAAAAAATATAGCTTCAATAAAAATATCACAATTTAATGCATACGAAACAGAATTATGTACTACTTTGATTTATAATAACTTTTTAGTTTTAAAAAATTTTTACAAAATGGATTTTTATTTTTAAGTAATGAATCTTCACAAATAATTGGGGTAATTACCTGTACATCAAAGTAATAAAGCGAATCAAAACTATTTCTAATACTACTATATTAATCGAAGTTAATGTAAAACAGGTTGAACAAGTTTGTATGCATATTTCATAAATCTTTAAATGAAAATTATAAATTAACAATCAGTAGCTGTGTTTATTTACAAATGCTCATTAAATTACAGTATTTTCTTACAGTTTAGTCCAAACTATTTACGATGTTTTATCAAATTATTATTTCTGTTAGCCTGAATTGGCTTCAGTGTATAAAAAAAAAGAAAAAAAGATGAATATTTTTTTGTCTGTTCGAATTTTATCGAAGCAACTGATCTAGTCCTTTATATATATATTGCAGCTGAAGAGCTTTTTAATGTATTTGTTGTATTTTTATTTGTTGTGTGATTTTTTAAGATGTTAAAAAGAAAAAGATATATGAAAAGATTTGGATCGAATCAGAGATGTAATTATATGCCTAAAGTATAAATGTGGATGAGAATTTTGGAAAAAAATGTAGCTACTATTATGATAGCATGGAATATATATGCATTACAATGTATTTTTTTAATCATCATCTTTTTCTGTGTGCTGAAAGTTTTGGCAAAGTATTGATATATAAAGAGTATATATAAATATACATATATATAACCATCACTTCATCCAAAAAATTTGTTGTTAAATTGTAAGTTTGTGCTTTACAATCTGTTATTCTAGCGCTTGCCTGTTGTTTAATAAAGGGTTGCCAACTTATAAAAATAAAATGCAAAAGAATTCAGTTAAGCACTATACGTCAAGAATTATTAATCAATAATAGACATAAGTGATAATTTTGTTTCGAAACTTATGCACTACTAATATTATTCTAATTCAAATATACATGGTTTCCAATTTTATATTAATATTTTTTTTAAAATCCAAAATCAGTTATTCAATTTTTTTTTAAATTTCATTTTCCAATTGAAAAATTATATAATATTTATAATAAGAACTTTGGTGCCTGAATATATATTTATATTGATATTTTCAGAACTACCAAACATGGCATTTTCTTTATCAAATTACTTTTTATTCGTGAATAAATTTCAGATGCTGTTTAACTTCTTCAAAGTCATTTTTTTAAACAACAAAAAATACCTACCATCACATGAAAAAATTTAAATTTAAGAATTATAATAGTGTCCCTAAAATAAAACATGGAAATTAATAAAATTTAACAATCATTAATAAATTTTAAAATATGAGTTTTAAAGAATAACGTTCAAAATGTCTGAAATTCCATAAAACAATCATTCCAGTGACATTGATAGCTTTTTTTAATTTCTTACGTTGTAATGGTAATAATAACAGTAATGAAAATACATTTTCAGTAAGCTAATAGTTTGGTGATATTTGTTTACTTTCCTTCATTGTAAGCAAGTTAATGCCTGGAAGATATCAGAAAATTTTTGCAGCACTTCATTTAAAAAACCGAAATTTATACATATTTTAACGTTTCTAAAAATCAAATTACTCTTTTCTTTTAGTTATTTTTACCTTTTTTGTGTAAATTAAGCTTTAAAGATTTGTGGAATTCTTTTAAAAAAATTTCTAAGCATTTTGCATTAAATTTTAATGTGCATTTGTTAAAATATATCATATTGCTTGGCATTTATTTCAAAATTAGCATTTAAATAAGTTTTCTGCTTTTTTAAAATTAAAAAAACCTACATTATAAATATGAGTATTAGAACAAAATGAAAGAAATGTTGGCAACCCGATATATAATGTTACATATTGTAGTTGAGCATTGCCTGCATCCGTACTCAAATGTTACTCCTGCATTTATTGAAGTGGAGCTGGACTACATGTGACGTAGATGAAATTCTTAAATAATGAATATTGTTTGAAATTGTGAAATAAAAATTTTGATGTTTTCATTTGTATTTTTTTAATATGCAAGCATTATGTTTAAACACTAAACTAGATATGAAAAATAAATAACATAAAACCTAATATACAGGGTTTGAACCAACAATTTTAAACCCTACTTTAAAACTATTTGATTTTTGTAGTTATGAGCTCTATAAACAAATTTAGATCAATTTGGTATAAGGAAATATTAATTAATTGATGCTGGTTATTTTTTAAGGCGACAGTATTATAGATATCTTTGATAGACATTGACCTCAAACTATTATAAGTTGTTCTGTGCTCCATTTATAAAAATGTTTTAAAAAAAAGGTTTAGTTACACTGCGAAGGCATAACCACAAGTAATGTGCATTAGAGAAAAAAGCAACAAATGACAATGTGGGGCCGAAATAAAAGTACTTATATAAATTCTTGAAGACTTCAACTTGTGTTCAGGTATTGATACTAATTGTGGATGAATTTAAAACTTCGTTTTCGATCACAGAATTTTGTTTTATGTCAGTTGTTATAATACCCAGTGAGAAACATTCCTGTACTCTAGTGAAAAGTGAATTGCCAAAGAATATAAATAGTTGATATTAATAATGTAAGGCAATTCTTTTAGAGCATGTCTCAAATTACATTAAACATTACAAGATTCATTTTGAAAATGAAGAAAAATTTTAAGAAACAAGCGTATTATAAAGTAATTTTCAGAATATTTTAAAATGATTTTTATGAAAAAAAATATAGAATGTACATGATGTGCATTTTCGATGAAAAAAGTTTTGATCGGGTGGCAATTGGCAGACAATTTTTTAATCGCCATTTGTTAAAGTTTGTTGTCCTGTGGCGATCATTAATTTTGCCCTATAAGTAAAATATGTTGACAATTAAAAAAATTAAAATTCGTTGTTTATAAGCAATAAATACCAAAATGCGTGTAGATAGAAACACTATTACAAATAAAAATTATTTGTAATTAATGAAGATCAAGTTCAATTATAATAATAATTTGGATTTTTGCTTGTAATATTATCATACATTGTATGTGGGATCATAAATAGAAACACTATTAAAAATTAAAATTTGCAGCAATTGAAGATCAAGTTCAATTATTACACTAATTGAAATTTTTGGTTGTAATATTAACTGGGATCATAAGTAGAAACACAATTAAAAATTAAAATTATTTGCAACTAATGAAGATCAAGTTTAACTATAATACTGATTAAGATTTTTGGTTGTAATAAAAATTGGGATCATAAGAAAAATTTGTGAAACAATGCATCTTTGAGTAGGAAATACTAGAGCATTATAAATAACACTAAACATAAATATTTTAAAAACAATGTATTTACAAATAGTACACATTGTATAAAATGACACTGTATGTACAAATTATTTAAAGAAAAAATATTTTTATTCACTTGCTTCCATTTCTTGAGACCTTTCAAAATACTTTCTTTCCTATGTAGAGACAATATTTAATATTAATTTTATGTTTAAAAAAAAGCCACCACATTTAACAATTTATATATTATAGCAATTTATATTAAAAGATTTCAGGCTTTCAATGTTAAGGAAATGAAACAGAAAATATTTTTAACTATGTGGCAAGATCATATTGAGATAAATTAAAAGAAAAGAAACACTTGTAATTTATGAACGTAAAAAAAATATTCTCTATGAAATTTGATTTAATTAAAAATATTTTCCTTTCTAATATAGTGCTAATTTTTATAAAGAGAAGTTTTATTTATTTAAGCAGAATTTAAATTAATTATTTGGTAAAACAAAAAATTTTTAATAATCCTGCCACTGAATATGCAAATAACTAGAAAAAATATTATATAACATTATAATGATGATTAGAAAAAATTATGAGTAAAGTAATGTAGTTGAGATTTTTGAAAAAATATTCTTAGAGAATTTTTTTACATAACACTCTCTAAAAAAATTGTTTCGCTTTTTTCTTTTTTAAAAAAAAATACTCAATTTAAACGTCTTAATTTTCAAGCTAAATGGAGAAATTAATACAAAAGTTTATATGCAGTATTTTTACGAGAGAAATAGGTTTTATTCACATGAAAAATAATTTCATTACATAAGGAAACTTTTTTTAAGCTAAATTTGAGATTGACAATAATAAGGTCAGACTTTCAACAGATCTGTCTAGATAGATTATTAATTTCAATGAATCTCAATTAAAAGAAAAAAAACAATTGGAAATTAAATTTAAAAACTTAAAACTATAATTTTTATTAGAAAGAGTTAAGGAACAATACACATAAATTTCACTTGAACAAAAAATATGAAAGTCACTGAAAAATATTGGTTATTTTTTACTTACATTCTTATTAATTGATGGTTTAATTTTCTTTTCGTCTAACACTTCATCAAAATGGTCCCATTCGACAGTAATTTTAGTATTTAATAAATGAATTTGCTTTTTTTCCTCAAATTCGCTAATGACTTGTTTTACAGCTTTTTGTGTAGCTTCGCGTACAAGAAAAGCAAGATCAGCACCACTGAAATAAAAATATATATATATATATAATGTCTGTAACTATATCCTAACACTCATGTTTGCAGTGACAGGAATCCCATTAAATGCACAAAAAATTCTGACTTCTTAGTTTCAGTTTTAGACTTGAAAATAATAATAAAAAAATTTTTAATGGTGAGTTTATAAATTCATACAGTTAATGGATATTATTTTCTTTTGATACCTTCAAAAATAAAAATAAAAAAATATTTTACTTCATTATTATTTTATTCATCACAATAATAAAGTTACTTTTAGACCTTAAAAAGAAATACATCCTTCCACATTTTCACTCTAGCCACCACATTAATAAGATTACTTTTACATTCAAAGGCTGGACATAATATCTTCAAAAAAAAAATAATAATAAATAACTACATCCTTCCTTATTATAATTTTATCTATCACAATAAGATAACTTTTACATTCAAAGTCTGGACATAATATTAAAAAAAAAAAAAAAAAAAAAAACTCCAGCNAAAAAAAAAAAAAAAAAAATACATCCTTCCTCTTTATCATTCTATCCACCACAATAACAAGATAACTTTTATACTCAAAAGTCGGACATAATATCTTCATAAAAAAAAACATCTGTCCTTATTTTCACTTTATCCCCCATAATAATAAGATTACTTTTATGTTCCAAGATAGGAGTTTTTAACTTCAGCTTAGACATTTTTAGAGATAAATAATTCCTCCACACCAACTATAACAGCAAATGATAACACAAAACATTACACAGAACTTGATGGATTTGAAATGAATTAATTAAATTTTAATGTATACATACACGAGGAATCCTTTCATTTCTATATTCCAATGCAAGACAGCACGCTATTGATGCTGACAATGCAAACGAGTCAACTCATTCCTCGGTAACCCTTTCCCCATCATTGACTTTATAAGTTATGACCTGACTGATTGAGTTTATTTTGCATAGATTGCAAGAGAAAGAGAGAGAGAATTTGTTACTTCCTTGAACGTAAGTTTTTTTTGCTTTTTTTCAGCTATAAAAAATTGAGTTTGTGAAAACTACAGTTAAAAGGAGTAAATATTAAGATCATTTAAAAATAACTTTAACAGGGTTTGTATCTTATAAAAAAAAACGAGTTACTGTAATATTTGAGTTAAAATGAACTCACTAGATAACATTAAAACCCTAATGTACAGAAAATGTAATAATATTTTGCCAAATTTTATAATTTTGTTTCAACAGACAAATTTTGTTTCGAATTATTTACCTGAATCCATCACATCTCATGTCTAGAGCTATTGTTTCTAAATCTAAGTTGTCAGCAATTTTGGGACGAGTTTTATTCTAAAACAAAAAAGACATATCTTAATTCTCTAAAACATTAAATTTATATTAACAATACTAATTTAACAATAAAATATTAATTTATAATTTTACTTTAGTTAGACTCTTTAATATGTCCACTCTGCCATTTGGTGAGGGCAAGCCAATATATATTTGTTTTTCCAGCCGCCCAGGCCTTAACATAGCAGAATCAATTTTTTCTTTTCTGTTAGTAGCTGCAATTACAAATACTTGTTTACGTTCTTGTATACCATCCATTTCAGTGAGTAATTGATTAACAACTCTTTCTGCAGCAGCATTCTAAATTATAAAATCATTGAAATAAAAAAATTATATATTATTCAATAGATAGAATATATGGAAATGGAAATAATAAAACGTCTTAAAATAAAAAAATATGAACATACTAAGTAAAAAACATAATTTATGATAAGTAACTGAGTTCATATCAGTCAGATTAGGTATAAGCTATTTAAGAAAAATAAACAACTTAAGAATAAATTAGTATTTTATCAATTTAGGTGGCAAATTAAAGTTAATATGTTATTAAAATAAGCATAGAGATTAAATAAATTACACTTTTTAAGACAGACTTGTCATTTTCCAAAATATCTCAAGCAAGAATTTTTTTAATCAATTTGTTTAATAGGATCCAAGAAGCACTAGTTGAAATTTGTATTAAGAATGTTATTTTTTGAATGCTTTTTATACTAAATTGAAAAGGGCATATTCTGAGTAGAGGCTAAAAAGAAAAGGGAAATGAAATTGTATTACATCTGAAAACTATTTAATGAGCATTCTGTAATTAGTTTTTGTTTCATTTTTGCTTTAGTAATTAATTTTTGTTTCATTTTTGTTTTAGTAATTAATTTCTGTTTCAATTTCATTTTTGTTGAAATATCAAACCAAACAGATTCAATTTATAACCAAGAGTCAATCTGAAGGTTTTTTAAATATTCACTAATCATTTATATTATTAACATTAATTTAATATTCAAATAAAAATTTTGAACTTGGTTAAATACTTTCTAATCAGAGCTTAGTTTCATAATATAAAAGAAGCCCCGCGCTACGAACTTCAAATTACTAGCCAGTAAATTAGCCAAAGTCTTAGCAAAGCAAATAAAAAACATTTTCTCATAGAAAACTTTTAAGTCAAAATACAAGTTTACTATAAATTGGACTATTTTAAAAAGGCAAATCTAAATCAAGTCATTTTACAGTTGAGGAGGAGTAAATAAGCAATGAATGGGGGAAAGGATAAAAAATGTAGATGTTTAATTGACTTTAAGGAAATAAGAATAGGTTAGGATTAATTTTTCATAACTTCTTAGACTAAAGCAGTAAAGATAAATCTGAAGCAACATTTGATGTTTTTATAAAATCCTACTATCTTTTAAATAACTATATTTCATTTTAAATAAAACATTTCATTCTTTAAGTCTTTTATTTCTTAAAAAAAGAATCTTTACTGTCTTGCTTATTTTATACTGTGACGATGATAAGTTATTTGAATAATTTCACTCTGTTTTAAAAGTTTTTATACTACTCGCAGAGATTTTTTAATGGATTTCAGGTGGAGTTTTGACACATTCATTGCCAGCAGTGTGCAAGTGGTTAGATTATATCTATCATTGAAAGGTGGAACTCCATAAAGTTAAAATCAAAGTTAAATTTTCTTATTTTAGCAACAGTTTTAAATTTTACAATAGTTTATTTTAATAAACAATATGCAATTGTCACGTAATATTTTCACTTAATCTGCTTTATTGATACAAACTTTCCGTCACAATTTCACAAATTTTACAATAAGTTTATTTTAATAAGCAATATGCAATTGTCACGTAATATTTTCACTTGATCTGCTTTATTGACACAAACTTCCCGTCACTTAATATCACCTGTGATCAGACAATGAACATATCTTATCTTTTCTTTCGATGCTTGCATAATCTCTCTTTTTGCGCATATTTTCTAGACTTAATATAACTCTAATTAGTTATGTGATATATCTAAAGGAAATTACTTTAATCGAATAAAAAAACTTACGTTTTTCAAAAAAATTCATATTGATGTAGTTTTTGTGATCAAAGGAAACAAATATTTTTCTTTCCGGTAGAAAAAAATCTCTCACCTATACTTTCGCTGAAGCACAATTTGTTTCACCGAATTTATGATTTTATCCGCATTTTATGTTTATCTTTTCTTTTCTAATACTTACATAATCTCACTTGTTACTTACATTATCTGGACATAATATAACTAATATTACTTATACGGCATACCTAAGGGAAATTACTGGAAGAATCGAATTAAAAAATACAATATTTGTTCAGAAAAATTCATATTTATGTAATTTTTGAGATCAAGGAGAATATATATTTTTCTTTTCAGTAGATAAAATTATTCGCCAAAACACTATTTGTTTTGCCGAATTTATGATTTTATTGCATTAGGCGTAGTGGCGAATGTGTAGTGTGAGCCCCGCTAGAGCTAATAAACCTAAAGTGTTATTACCATCCACATACTTTAAGCAAAACATATACAAGAAAAATGAACTATATAAATAATTATTTAAAAAAACAGCCTTTTGCATACATATACAGTAAAGTCCAGATTATCTGAGTTTCCGCTTTAACTGAGCTATCTAATATTTAAAGGATTTTTTTCTCCTCATTTAATTTTTATTTTCAAAACTACCGCTGAAAAAAAATCTGAATTTTATCATCCAAACACTCAGAAAGACGAAATCCAACAACTTGATCTGATGAAATGATCATTACTATTGTCAATAATGAAAATGAATCCAGCGAAGATGAAAATCAACCTATAAAAATCTGTCATACAGATGGACTAAAAGCTATCGAAAGTGCAATTGAATATCTAGAACAACAAGCAGTGATGACATCAGCTCTCCTGTTATCCCTAAAAAAATGGGAAAACCTTGCTTCAGAAAAGCACCAAAGTAATGTAAAACAAAAAATGATTAAGTACTTTTTTTAAGTAAAAACTCTTCAATTCTCGTAAAGTATGCTCGTTAAGTTATTTTAAGTAAGCTTTTTAATTATAATACAGATTGCATGTGGTGTGCTCGTATAAATTTTGCATTTGCTAAATATATTACTTTTGTTAAATATATCACATTTATACTCTTTGCTTTAAATGAGTTTTTGGGTTAGCCAAGTTAGTCCTGATCCATATTTTAACACGGATAATTGGGACTCTACAGTATAAAAATTACTTTTTTTAAAAATAGTTTTTTGCATACATATATTTTATTTATGTGAAATGTTTTGAGCTTACCGAGCTGGATGCTGATCTAGAAGGACAGAAAGCATCAAATTCATCAAAAAATATTACACAAGGAGCTGAATTCCGAGCCCTTTCAAAACATCTACGAACTGATTTCTCACTTTCTCCAAAGTACTATAAAATATAAATATTAAATAAATCTTTTTAGAACAATATTCAAACAATTTTATGTAAGTAAAAAAGTACTAAAATTGAAAAAAATTTGAATGATCCAATAAATTTTAACAGCCACAAAGGACCAAAATTGATGAATTAAAAATGATGAATAAAACTATTTTAGAATTTAGTGGGTGGTCAGTAAAATATGAAAACTCATCTATAGGTTCATTTCTTAACGACTATAGAAATTCTCTAGGAGTTCAACAAATTAAATTTTACAAATTTAACATAGGTGTTTATAAATTTAAAAATAGCATGATAATATGAACGTCAAACTGCTTTATTTTTCACTTTATAACAGTGCCTAATAAACCATAGCATAGGTTTCTATTTGTCCTTTTTCTAAACAATACAATGTGATTTGAAGAACAACATTTCAAAGGATTAGGCAACTCTTGGCTTTTGATAAAATTTTTGTTAATTTCCTTTGATTAAAATGTGTGTTAATGCCTTAAAATGATAAATCTTAAGTTTTAAGAGCAAGATAAATACTTAAGCAGTCAAATTTTTATAGAATGCTCAGAGTGTGCACCCAGAAACCTTCAAAGGTATAATTATCAAAGCTATATTTTTTTAAGTCAATTGAAATTCCAACTCAAACAACTATTCACTGATTGTCTTCAAATTGGAATCATATGTTTAAAATTATATTATTTAGAGAAGAATGAAAAACTGCTTAATTTTATCATACAGATTTGTTTTACTTATAAAATATTTTACCGGCAATCTCAGGTTCGAATTTTCGGGGAGAAAATTCTTATGGATGCTCATTCCACCAGCTAAACACAAGCAAACTGAGCAATTTTCAGTTTTTATTCAGTATTATTGTTATTTTTTGAACAAAAACTGAAATAGGCATTCTAAAATGTAAATAAAAAAATTACAAAAATTTTTTCAACATACTTGTGTTTCGCAAATTAAAAAGTACCGCACAAAGATAGCAAAGTTCTAATTTTATAGTTCAGCAATACCATTGAAAAAAAAAGTGCATTTATAGTCAGTTTTAATATTAGCTGGTGCTGCAGTGTAAGCAAAAATAGTTTTCCAGCTCTAAACTTGCTTTATATTATGTTGGAAAAATAAGATAAAGAAATGGCCAGTTCTCTGTCCTTTGCTGTGTAGGGGACAGGGAACTGACCTTGCATCAAAAAGGTTCTGGGTTCAAATCTCGTACAAGGCATGATGTTCTTTCATTCTCTGAACTACCGATCCTTACGGTGGGGATCAACGTTGGCCCACCTAATATGGTGCCCCAGAAAGAGTGGCCAACAAATCTGCCCAGGTGGGAGTTGGAAGAAGAAAAAAAATATAGGAAAAATTTATTTTTACAGTTAATTGAATGCATAATAAGGACCTTTTTTCTCTTCAAAATTTTGATTTTAAAAAAATTCCTGAAATATGCTTCTTTTTTCTGCTACTAGAAGGATGTATTTTAAATTCTGTGCATGCTGTTGAACTTGTAGAGGAGCAATAACTGCTACGAGTGTTGTTTTAAATTATATAGGCATTGCTGAGGCATTTACTCATTCTACACAAATGAGAATGCTTGATAAACTAAATAAAAATTAATTTTAAAACCATATGTGACAAAAATAAAGCAGTATTCAGTACTATTGATCATGAATATAATTTTAATACTTAGTATTTTAAAACTCATAACAATAGTTAAATAGTTATCTGAATATTATTATTATTAAGAAAAAATTAAGAAGTACTCTAAATAAATGAATTACTATTAAAATAAATAAAATAACTGCATTCCACAGGGTTATCTTACCATGTTTAACAATTCAGGTCCATTTACACATAGAAAATTTATATTGCATTCATTTGCTAAAGCCTATAATAAAAATAAAGAAACAAAAACAGGTTGAAATTTAAAAAGAAATAAAGACTAGAGCATTGAAGAAATTAAAAATTGTAAACTAAGCATAAATAGTTTATTATAATGAGTTTTCAACTTTAATGAAAAATATGTTCATTAAAATAGAAAATAATCTTATTAACGTTATCAGCATAGATTGAAAGAAAGTCTAATGCATTCAAGACACTAATGCAAACACATTTTTTTGAGCTGAAAATAAAGAATAAACAAGAATCTCTGGTCAAAAACTGTTCATTTGACCTTTCTCATTTGGATATTAGTTTTCCCTTGAATTTCACTTATTTAAATATTATTTTGCACAGCGAAAATATTATTTTTTACCTTACTGATTCATGAAATGTTAATCAAATGTAAATATAAATAAGTAAAACTGGAAAAAATTCAGCAAATTTTTAGAGTATCACTCCATCCGTACTCATCAGAAATAGGCTTTTTATTTAATAAGCAATAAAACTTACTTTTTGGAAGAAAATATGTCTAACATTACATTTTGCGAGAAAAAATGTTTCAACAAAATTTTGCTAGATAAAGGTTTAGTAAGTAGATTTTAAGATACACTAACATATAAATTTTAATTCAAAAATATATTTTGTACAAGTGAAATATGAAAACATAATGTAACATAGTTTATTTATAGAGTAACTTCAGCAAATAAACATCTAAGAAAGACTTAGAGCCAAAATTAATTTATATAGCAACAGTGTTTTCACTACAGCGCGAGAATCTGGCATATTTATTTATTTTTCTTGCAATAAAAAATTATTAATGCGAGAAGTTCGCGCACTCTATTAATCAATTTCAAAATGCACGAATTTTGGAAAAAATTTCGTCTTTTGCCATTTTGAATAAAATCCGTTTCACTTTTCTTCCTTGATCATTCATTATTTTGAACATCGGTCCTTGTTATCTAGCTACCCTATTTACCAGTATAGTTCAGAACCAGTGCGAACAGCATAACACCACCCCCACGAACATCTTTCAGAACACATTTCTCTGCAACCACGTGTTCACCGTAGGTAAAGTTTCTTCATGTAAGACGTTTACATTTTTGTGCATGAATGTAAGATGGACAAATACCTTGTTAAGGCGACATCTTCTACTCCGTAATGGACAAATGAAAATGAAACAAATGTCGGTAGAAACGGTCAAAACAAAACATATACAGATATTTTTCAGCCAAATAAATATAATAGCTGATGAAAAAGTAGATTTCCATATGATGATGCAGCAAAAATATTCAATAATAAGATGTTAAAAATGTATTATAATTAAAGAAATAATTTTTTTCCAAGTCTATTCGTGTTTTTTTTAATTTTTAGAAATCTCACTTAATTTTTTGAAATCTCACCCTGTTTCTGAGAATGGGTAAGAAATTCTCTCCCATTTTTTTTCTGTAATAAAAACACTGAGCAAGCTAAATTTTGAAAAACTATTACCACCAATCAAGTACATTATTGAATTGTGAATATGGCTATAATTTAAGAAAAAATTTTAGATGCAGAAATTGTTAAACGAAACAATTTTTGTGCTAATTAATATTTCAATCTTAATTAAGACGGAGACTTTTAAAATCTCAAAATCTTTTGTCCATTTACTTTTTAGAAGAAAATAGTATGTAATATTAATATTATGATTAACTTGATTATGTAAAAAGTTTAAAAATTAAACAAAATTCAAAGCAAGCTCACAAACCTATTAATATAAAAAATAGCTTGAAAAATTAATAATTTTACATACTTCCTAATAATAATAGTTGCATAATAGATGCATTTAATTAAATTTTCAATCAAAATTTTCACTATTTTTTAGTTGATTAAAATAAAGTTGGACAGATAATAGGCATCATAATTGCATGGATATTGAAATTTGAAAAAATGTAATTTTATTTTATTCTAAACAAATATAAGTTAACAGGCCACAAATATAAGAAAATATTAACTCATAAAGAATACTTATACAACAGTACTTTGGCAAGAAGTGTCTTTCCACAGCCTTTTGGTCCATATAACAGAATGCCTTTAGTACTAGATAAATTATTTTCTTCATAAAATTTGTTGTATTTAACAGGCCACTAATTAAAAAATGAAATAAAGATGCTTATTAAATTATAAAGTTAATGAAATCATAAATTTTTAATAAAATAACAATGAATAATGACATAAAGATATAAATCATGAAACTTTTGTAATCAAAATTCAGGTTATACTCGACCCACATAATTAATTAAATGATTTGATATTAAAACCTTATTATTTTCTTACAAAAAATAATATTGACAGGAGCCCAATGAATAGTTGCACAATACAGAGCAACATAAGCAGGTTGCTGGGAAAAAAACAGATATAAATTTGAAGACTTACATAAGGGTTAAAACATCACTTAATTTATCGTAATTATTTTCACATCACATTAAGCAGGGATGGCTAAACTTTTGAAATTGCTTCAGATGTTACAGAAAATCATTGTTTCTTTTTAATGTTTAATAACTTTATTTCTCTCTCTAAATCATTAGTTTACCTTAACTATAGCGAACAAGAATGTAGCTTGAATAAAAATTAGTCTATGTACATATACGGCAGAGCCCAATTATAACGAGAGTGCATTCAACGAGTAAAATGTAATGTTTTGATCGGACCAATGTTATAAATGTATTAGAATGTACCTTACTTCCTTGCGAGTTTAACAAGAGAAATAATTCTGACACTCAAATATTTGTCAAAATATTTAAAGAAGCACTTAGTTGGTGTTATACAGTATCTCTGACAGAATATTTATAAGCCTTGAGTGTTAAAGGCATAAACAAAAATATTATTCATTCAGTTTAACAGTAATACATGTATAATATTTTTATCAAATCTTATTAAAAAAATATATATGAATATATTCTTTTCAGTTTCACAGTAATTCATGTGTTTGCAAACAAATTTGCTTGGCAGAGAGAAAATAAAATTAAAAGACTAATTTTATTAGTATAATTTTGATCTAGGTTAATAAAGACTAACAATTACTAATGATCAACTCTGTAGCCTTGTAATTTTGAACTCAATCCAGAAGACAAGGGAACTACTGGATCAGTACCCCCAGTGGTATGATTTGTTATGAGAACATGGAGGACTTTGTGATCTGACAGATTTAACGTGCACCAGTCACCATTTACTACAGTTTTCGGCCTGTGGTGATCGAACCCACCACCTCATGGACATAGGCCCAGTGCCCTAATAACCAGGCTATACCAGCCCAATTAAAAGACTTACCAACTGAACAGAGTTATTATTTTTATATCAGAGCAGAGTTATTATTTTATATATTAAGCTACTTTTTACCAGTACAGAACTGTCAACCTCAGAAATTCAAAAGGCCAGACACTTTTTTGAGACCATAGCCACCATATCTTGCGATTTCCACAGACAGTGTAGAAGTAGCAAAATTTACACAATCCGTATTTCTGTGGAGATGCATTTTTTCTGTCTGTTTAACTGTGCAACTCACTATTTTCCTGTTCATGATTTTATTTTCGCTTTGCTGTGTTGTTTAACTGTTTATTCAGATCTAGGTTAACAGATTGAGCTAATTATCCATTTTTCTGCAAAATACACAAGTCAGTTTTGCAGCATTCTGCATGCTCCTTAAAAAAATTTATCTGGCAAAAGAAATTCTAAGAAACACAAATTTAGTTCTAAGATTGTGAGTCTTTGCCTTGAGCCTTGTTTCCAAGTTCATCATACAAAAACCTTGTTTTTAATAAATTTTTTGTAAGTATTTTGCATTATACATTTAACCTTTGTATTTCGTAAAGTAAATCATAATTTAACCAAGATCAATTAATTTTAAATATTTTACTCTTAAAAAATTATTTTTCTAATTTAATTATCTAAAAATCTTTCTTATGATTTAGTTTAATACTGAAGAAAAAAAAAACTCTTTTATAAAAATATTTTATACATTAACTCTAAAATATATGTAGAATTGAAATGCCTGATCAAAGAATGAAATTTATGAATCTATTTTGATTAAAAAAAATTTAAGCACCAAAAGGGATAATAAGTAAAAAAATAAATACTAAAAAAATAATTCACACATTCATTAGATTAAATTTACATAAGTACATTTTTTACTCCTTACAATTTGAAAATAATAATAAATAAATCTATTTTCAATATGTTATATAAATTTTTTTCACCATCAAATTCTTTTAAGTTTATTAAGAAAAAAAACAATGCCTGACATATCTGGATTAGTTAAAAAAATAAAATTTGAGGCTAAATGCTCTCTGAAAGATTGCAACACTATGAGGAATGGCCTACACCACCAGCTTTAACTTGGCTAATATTCTATAAATCTTATTTTTCCCACTACTGACTACACATCATTTTAAATTGATTGATTGGATCAAAAGAATAAAAACCGAACTTTTGTTCTAAAATATCTTAAAAGCATAAAACTGAGTTTCTGGATTATCAAGAAATGAGTTTTGTCATCTTTTCGTAAAACAGTTACTAACACAAAAAACTATCAACAAAAAGAGCAATTGAAATTTTACTGAAATTAGCCATTTAAGCAAGCATTAGAGTGGAATTCTAAAAATAGAAATCATCTGTATATGTTTTCTTAAAAGCAATATTATACTTTTTTAAGACACTTTAAAAAAATAATAATTAAGTTCTAAAAAGATTATTTTGAAGGCTGTATGCTAGCTGTGCATGGTTCTTTGATTCATATGCTTATTAGGAAAACAGCCTGAGAGTTGGTACGTCTGCCTGTACAATGGAAAATATTTTAGAAATTTTTTTAAAAAAAATTGACAAAGCTCAGTTATAAGATATAATGAACAAGAATGACCAGAATTAAGAAACAGATAAGATTACATTTCATCAATACAGTCTTAGGAATACATTGATAGGACTGTTGAGAACACTTACGAAAAGAGAAAATGGATATTTTCAAATTGAGAAAATATAAAAAATTTGATTTATAATGTAACCAATTAAATCAGTGTTTCCATTTCCTTATTTTTAAAATTTTTTTAAAATTCAGATTATTGGAATGACCAAATATATATAAATACAGTGAACTCTGGCTACTACGATATCCGATGCAACAATAACTCCTTCTATTACAATAATGTTTTGTGGTCCCGACGAACTTGCATATGAATCAATGTTATTCAACGCTCAATATTGCAATATTCTCTGAAGCAATAAACCCTTGCAAAACGATTTTTCTTAGTTTTTTCTAACAAGAGAATTCTCACTGCTGATTATGTTCTTATCTTATTTCTATTCCCCACAGTGAATGGCTTTTGTATTCCAATTTCAATACCCCATCCTTGATGTACATAAACCACCCCAAGACCTTCCATTCTTAGAATTGCCTCCCTTATCTCTTAAGAAATCACAAATGTAACATTTCTATCTGATTTCATATTTAACCATAATTACCACACTGCAAACTAAATTTTTATATAATATATAAATATAGAATTACAGTTAATACATATATAACATTAAAATTTAAAAAAAAAATCTTATTGTGTCCTCAAAGAATGTAGGCCCTCGATATAATAATATATCCCTCTACAGTAATATATTTATTTGGTCCCCAAAATATTGTTGTAGCGAAGTTTCACTATATACACACACACATACATATATATATATGTGTATTGTAGTACGGAAAACTCTCACCATTGTATTTTGAAGTTCTTCTTTCACATGTTCTAAAGCTCCAACATCTTCCCAAGTGACATTGGGTACTGAAGCAAATCCTTCTCTTTTAAAATTAGGGACGTATTCTTTAAGTGCTTCCTAAAACAAAAATCGAAGCATTTTGCAACAATATATAAACCGATAAAAGCAACAAAGTTTTTAAATATTTACACAATTATTAACTAAAAGAAGAAAGGAAGGAGGAATTACTTTAAAATCGCAAAGATCAAAATAGAAGTCAGACATTACTTCTTTAGATGAATCAAGAGAATTGAACCAAGACTCAGCTGTAACAAAAAGAATTTTTTAAAAATTAAAAACAAGGCAAAATTATAAAATAATGACAATGTCACTTTTTCTTGGATCAACCTAGATCAAATGAAACAAAAAATTAGACATAATTTCAGATAAAAAGAGAACAAGATTCTAGAATTTCATAAAAAGAATGAATGCTAGGGATGACAAAGCAAGTTTATCTCAGTATCATTATTGAAAATTTTGAAATCATATATGTGTGTCATTATAGAAAATTATAGTCATTATTTGATCATATAATGACTATATATATGTATAATAATCATAAAAAACAAACATTCAATGCAACTATTTCTTAAAATTGCAAATTAGGTTACTTTTACTTGTTTGCTTTTTCAATAGCTGTATCATGTTGACAATTGTCATTTGAAAAGGGATTTTTTTTTTCTTTTAGTTTTTGTAACACTATGAACATAGTAGCGATTCAACAAAGAATTCATCAATATTGTGAGTTTAGCATAAAAAGTAATAGTTCACAATTTTAAGAAGAAAAAAAACAAATTTTAATTATACTACTTATAGAATTTCATAATAAGGATATAGATACAAAAAATTTTGCCTTCGTATTATAGTAAAAAATAATATTTGTTTCAACTTGTAAAAATGAATCAAATATACATGGCTTATTATGTGGAAAAGTTGTTACTCAATTGACCATCATTTATTAATGTTATACAGTAGAAGCAAAACAAGATCCCACCCAATAGGAAAAAAAAAAAAAAAAAAAATCCCTAACCCTTCCAGCTTTTCAAAGAAAATTTAAATAAAATTTTGAACCATAATTTGCCATAAGATGATTGTTTTCCTTAACTATGTATAAAACTGAAATGGGACAATTTAAAGCATACAAATTGTTTGCAGTAAGTTACATTTCGTAAATTACTGAATTTAATGTAAAATAATTTTAACCTTAACAACATACATAGCTGCCAACTCTTCCGGTTTTCCCGGAAGATTTTATTTTCATATTTAAAGTGCTAGCGAAATTCGTGTTATTTCACTAAACTTTTTGAATTATAATAATAATAATTTTAAATCAGTTTGACCACCACTACATATAAATAATCACAACAAATATATAAATGCATATTATTCCTTACGATAAAGAATTTCAACCTGATTAAAATATAATTTTGAGGAAGATAGTTTCTCGGTAATTGTTTTACTACCACTTGGAAAATCCATTCTCGAAAAGAAAGAATGTTGGCAGGTATGAACATATATAACTTAATATGTTACAAAAAATAATTGTACCATAGGTCAGAATAACTTACTTTGGCTACTCATTGTTACTACTCATTGTTATCTGGCTACTCATTGTTATCACTACTTCTAAGAAAAGATGAGTTTTACATTTCTGTTGTTGTTTTTTCAAATTTTAGAAAGAAAAAAAAACCAGTCTGTTTTTTTTTCATTTACCAGAGAGTTTCAGGTTTCTGCTGACCTCTTACAAAAAGCAAAATCTTACAGAATTATTAAATCATTATTAAATCTTACAAAAAGCAAAATAACAATAAATTTGCACACAACACCAACAGTAATTGTCCTTAAAAAAACTCTAATCAAAATATCTATAAAAGGACAAGAAATTAGGAGACAGTAAAAACAAAAAAACCTTCCTTGAAAAATTATTGTATTAGTAAAATTTTGATTTAACAGTCTATAATTTCTATTAAACTATTTATTAACTTTTATGTGCATTTTCCCAAAAACCTATCACATACAAAAATAGAAAACATATTAACTGTTATTGATCCATGGCTGATTTTGGTAACAATACATAGATTCAAATTGTTGCATATTCTTAGAATTTATCTATCATTTAACAAAAAAGGCAGCCTAAGTGTTTATGAATAAAATAATCATGATAACAAGCGATAATTATGCCTTATTCAATTATAGAATTAAAATAATGTAAATAAGTTAAAGGAAATTTTCAATAGATTTTAAATGAGAATGATATCACAATAGATCTATTTATGTTCCATAATCAAGATAATATAAAAGAAATAGTAGAAATAAAAATTTTACCCTTTTCAAGAGCAGAGAGTGTAGGATCATATGAGTTAGAAGTTGATGTAGAAATTTTGTCTGATGCTCTGGAATTAAAAACCAAATGGATAAAATTTAAACTAAAAATTTCACAAACAGATGATGAGATAAAATTTATTTTGATAAGCAAATCATTTTGAATAAATATTATTACAGAAGGTGAAAATGAGGAACAACAATGTTTTTAATTATGAGGAATTTTGCATCACTGATTTTTATTCATTACATTAATTTATTTTTTTTTAAGATTATAGTTTTAAAATATAACTATTCAATATTATTAATTTAGTTATTGTATCAGTTATGTAATAAATATATGTTAATAATATTTATTGTAGTTGTTAGATACAGCTGACTTGCTTATAATGAGCCAAGATTAAGGGAACTTGGATTTAATGAAAAAATCAATAATATTTGGTATAATGTAAAGTCTATTAAAGCATAACTTGCTTTTAAGGAGCAAACCTTAGTTTAGCAAGTAATATACTTGAGGTTCTTAAATTTTCCATAACTATCTACTTTTTTTGGAATTAGCTAATTTCTCTTTTGAAAAAAAAATTCTTTCTTAATGCTTAAATTTGAAAAAATAAATCCAACAAATATGTTTATTCCCTATTTTTTTTATTAAAAAAAAAAGCAGGGGTACAAATGACAATGCTTTTTGGGCCATGAATCTTATTCAAAACACAACGAAGAGGTAATTAGGCAGTTCAAAGCAAATCAACAAACTTTTTTTGCACTGCGCAGAAATTAAAAACAAATAAAGTATTAAATTTATAATTTAAAAAGCATTAAATATATATTAAAGTATGCATAACTTTTTCATGAACACATATTTTACAAGCACTCTGTTATAACGAACAAATATTGTGGTCCCTTCATTCTCATTATAAGCAAATTTGACTAAATTAGAAATCAGTGTTTAAAGTGCAAAATAAAAATCTGCATAATAAATATTGTTTTAAATAGTACTTATAATAATAGAAGGAAATGGATAAATGAAATGTTTTAAAACTTTAAACTATCTAGCCTAGAAAAAAAAGTTTATAAATTATCATATTTTTTATTTAAAAACTTAATTAAGGTAACTTTTTTTAGAATTCAAACTAAAAAAGACATGTGTGACTGTAAAATGCATTTTCTTAAAAAAAAGACCATGTAACCAATAATTCTAGATCCATTGGTGCCTCCTAATGCAAAAAATGTTAAGAGACTCTACCAGAAAGTGCAATACTCTACTAAATAACTACTACTTAACAAAAATAAAATTATTCTGACTTCATTTTACAAAAAACAAGAAACATAACACTTATTTTACACAAAAAATTTGCTCTATAATATCACCATAGCAACCAATGATAAAAACTCTAATGAAGATGATGACTCACGGGCATATTCAAATAACGAATAAAAATAAAATCTAGTACCTTTAACAGCCTGCTAATGAGAAATTTGGCTATATATTAATTATAAATTCAAATTGACTTTAGGTGAAAAATTAAGAATTATTATTATCTGAACATAGAAAAAAAAACTGATATTTTCAGACTTTTTATTCAATTTTTAGTGGTGTCTGCTGATAGGAATTTTGACAGTAAAATACTTTTAAAATTCAGTATGACTTAAGGTAGAAAATTAACATAAATATAATTTCAATTTGTAAATGCTTTTCATACCTGCATGCTCCAATTTCAATAGCATTAGACACCAAGTTCCTTAAATCAGCAGCAACATATCCTGCAGTATGATGAGCTACCCAGGTGAAATCAAAGTCAGCAGTTAACTTAACATCCTTGCATAAAACTTGCAGCATTCTGAAACAAAATATTATTGTTCAATAAAAGTTCTTAGTGCTCTATAAAAGTAAAAGTAATGTTGAGTAGTATTCTTTCAAATGAAAAATGTTATTAAAAGAATGTATTTTTCAGAATATAATCCTAATCAGTTAGTTATGATTAGAAGTGAAGAATATGTAAGTGAATGAGGTTTGAGGAAAGTTTAGGTACCCTTAGAGAAAATTTTAATCTAATATTTAAAAAAAAAAAATTGCCAAAAAATTTTTTTAAAAATTTCCAGAAAAAAAATTCAAAAATATGTTTGTTTTACATAATTTCTAATATAATTTATAATTTGTTAAATCATATTAATTTCTCATATAAAAAGGAAAAAGAATATTTCTTGTTGCGCCAATTCTTTATTTATTAGTTAGAGTTCCTTAAGTTTTCAAATGGGACTTAAAATTTAGTTCTATAAATTATACATCAATTTAATATCTCCTAATTTTTACTACTTTCAACTCATATGCAGTTATACAAGAATTGAATTAATTTAATTGAGTATATTTTTTTATTTGTTGAAGAAAAATTATTATTAAAAAAATTTAACAATACACAAACTTATCTTTCAAAAAATATTTCAAAAAAATAATTGAACCCAAAAAAAAAACTACTATGTTCTGGGGAATTATTAGGCTTTGAGAATTTTCTACATCCCTGGCTATGATAACATTATAATCAAATAGTTGGTTAAGTCTGAATACATTGTAAAAAAGTTAACAATCTATCTAAAAAGAGAGTTCTGAATAAAAATAAATTTAACATTTTAGAAAAAAAAAAAGTTTTGAGCTAAATTCTACAAATGAGGTTCACTTCATTATGTATTAATAATGCTTATTTAAATATTCTAGCAAGCAAGCAATAATCTGTACAAAAATTTTATTTCAATAGGGATTTTTTTAGGATAACTTATTCAATTTTAGGGAATTTTCTAAAATGTACAAAAACCAGGAGAATTTCAATTAAGCCAGTAGACCAGGAGAAACTGGTAAAATTCAGTAGTCTACCGGAAAATCCAGTAGAGTCGGCAGCTATGTTTATAAATCACTTTTTAATGATATAGTATAATTACCTACACTCAAAGGGCAATGAACGTGTGAAGCCCATGCCCAAATTTTGATAAAATAAATTTTGCTTAATAGTACAAAAACCCATAAATTAGAATTAAATTATTCAAATAAATTATCCTCTATAGAGTTTTTTTTCTTTTTGAATGATTACATCACAACAGTAAAAAATAAGCAAAATAGTAAAAATTCTTATTAAAAAATAAGACTTGAATGAAACATTGTATTCAAAATGAAATATATATATTTAAAAGATAGTCGAAATATATAAAAAAACAACAAATGTTGCTTCAAGTTTATCCTTATATTACTGCTCAGGTCTAAGAAGTTATCAAAAATTAACCCCAACCTATTCTTATTCATTTTCTCAAAAGACCATAAAACATCAAAATTTTTGCTAATCTAGAAAAAAATTTAAAATTATAAATTATTAATATTTTTCTGAAAAATTTAATTAAAGATTAAAGAAGTTTTAATCGTACAGTCAAGAAATTTTTACAGTGATTTATTGTGAACCTTATTAGCTTCTTAATGTTATGGACACTTCTAAAAATTATAATTTTTTAGGTTTAGTGTACGAGTTTTCCAAGCTTCAGAAAAAAATCTGCTATGTATATAAATTTTTTTTACAGGCCAAAATAAAATTTCCAAATGCCTAGGTCTGATCAATTGACACTCTGTGTTATAGAAAACAATACACTTTTATTTAGATCACTTATAAAAGTAAGGAAGAGAATTGAAAATATAATACTAAAGTATTTCATGAATTTAACTATTAAACATTTTATACTTCATGAAAGAAAATGTAACATTACCAAATAAATACATTATAATCACGTATAGATAATTTTTTTTGCTATTTAACTAATATTTGGGCTTACAATATAATTATTTAAATCACATAAAAAATTTTAAAAAATACAAACAACACTTATGCACTTTAAGTCAATATTGTAATATTAATAGATAAATAAATATAAATCTCACTGAATTTTAGCTTGTTCATTTGGTATTCCTATAGCCAGTTCACAGCGAAATCGATTTCCACCGCGTAAAGATGGATCAATAGCATCTGGTATATTAGTAGCTCCAATTACCATAACATTAAAAGAAGTATCTTTATCATTTAGATCTATAATATCAATAAAAATGCGGAATTATAAAACTTGTACTAATAAAAATTACTCATTTTATTAAGCCTCCAAGTGTTAGTCCTTGCTTCTTTTTCTTTTTAAGTTTTTCTCACATTTGATGATATAAACTTCTTCTTATTCTTAAAACAAAAAAAGGTGGTAGAAAAAGAAAGGATGACATGAATCTCTAGTGCTCAAAAATAGGCAGTCATTCTTAAGACTAGCAGAAAACATTAACTTATTAATAAAAAGTAAAAAATAAAGGTGAAAAGCAAAACTTGAAAATCTGCAGTAGCCAAGATTGAAAAATGAAATAAAAAAATGAAGGTGAAAACCAAAGCAAGAAAACCTGCAGTGGCCAAGAGAGGTAAATCAGAGCAAAATACATTTCCACAGGTTAGAGAAAAGGTTTCTGCTTCAAATGATTTTTGTTTTCATCATTCACACCTGCTGCGTCTCGATAATAGACGCCTATTTTCAAGCACTCGAAACAAGTCAACTTTTATTACTATCTTCGTAATCTTTTTAAGCAAATGAAGTTTATATTACCAAGAATATCTTTCTGCTTTTAATTTCTTTGGTTTATACACTTACTTTTCCTTGTCCTCGTGTTATTCAGAAGGAAAGTACAGAATGTAAACAAGGAAGTTTCAGTACAATTTTGCAAAGGAGCTCAACACTTAGAAGGGAAAAAAAAGTACTCCATTTACCATCCATGCACTTTACTAACTGAGTCACCATGCGCCTCTCCATTCCCCCACTGGCAGTTTCTCGCTTTGGAGTAATTGCATCAATTTCATCAATAAACAAGATACAGGGACCAGTATTCATAGCCAAATCAAAAGTGTCTCGTATTTGACTTTCTGATTCACCAGATATACCACACACCAATTCTGTTGCTACTACTTCAATAAGAGGTAATGAAAAATGCTATATAAGAAAGTAAGGATAATCTATATAAGCAAAGTTTTAACAAAAATGTTTCTATAAAATCTTAACTCAATTAAAAAAAACAACAAAAAAACACTTACATTAAAGAAGTAAAATAACAAGATATGATCAAAAGTTTATAACTTATACAGGGTGCATAGCCAAATCTTTCAACAAAAATAAGCACTTTTAAGCAAAAAATAAGTACTTTATAAGCACTCAAAAAATATTTTTAAGCACTATATACATTAAGAAAATGCAAAATAATTTTCGAAGACTTTACATGATCATGATAAAATAACCAGTCTTTGACAAAGAACTTTCTTGATTATATTAGCCATTTAAAAATGATCAAAAAAATTTTCTGATCAATTTCAGAGTGTGGAAAATGAAGCTTGAAATTGAGAATATCTTGCAAAATGCAGTAGAGTTGCACATAAGAGTGCAATAATCTCACCGAATCCAGCTCATTATAAGCACATGTGGACTCGCAAGTATTTAATCAAACATTTAAAATGATTGGCGCTTTCATAAGCAGTGGACCGGAGGTACATTGAAATAGATTGTGATTAGATGAATTGTAACAACGTTGAATAGAACAATGTGAAAAACGCACTCCTGCATAATATGTGACATGATAAAGAAAAAAATCTCATTTTCAAAAAGGGGAAATGAAGCACTTTCTTATAATACCCAATAAAAAATGCACATTTAAAGGCTTTTAAAAAACGAAAATCAAAAATAAGCACCTTTAAACACTTTTTAAAAATGCTATGCACCATGTTATATATGTAATTTAAAAGTACTTCTTAAGTTAAAAATAAATAAAACAGTAAACAAACACTATTAAAAATAATGAACAGGAAACAACAGGCAATTCAAAAAAAAATAATAATAATAATTCAGAGCTTTAGAAAGGAAAAAATGAATAATGAGGAACTTTAAAAACGTGCAGCTTTTGATACTGCATTTATAATAAATATTTTATGATGATTTTGAAATGATTCATGATATTTGATTCTTAAATTGCACATATATAAAATATCAATCCCAAAATGTAATGCTAAAATATTGTTGTGAAGGAACAGAAAAATAAGATTCATAAATAATGACATTGAATTGTGATCTGAAAATCATGAATCACGGAGAGAAAAATTATAAGGACAAATTTATCAATATATGACAAATTATATTCACTAAACTCATGCAATTGGAGGAGAAATGACATTCTTACCATTTCACATCAGAAAAATTGAGTTGGTAAATACTCTTATCTCATAAGACTTATTGCACACATTTTAGATTGAATATATATTTTAGGGTTAACATTATTAAAATTTTTTATAACTGATATTTATTTTTATGCTTACATATTAATACATTAGCAATTAAAAAGAAATTGAATGCTAAATATAATAAAGTTAACACAATTGAAGCTATACCACATTTTGGAACTCAGAGAAAGTTATTAAATGCTACATTGTAGGACTACACAATCAGAACCGTACAATAAAATTTAGCCTTCATATTATGTTCAAAAACTACTAGCCTAGGAATAGATTCTTGAACACAAAAAGCTCTAAGACCAGTAAGTGTAAGTATATTAAAAGAAAAAAAAACAGATAAAAGCAATTTAAACAGGCATAGGATTGTAATATAATAATATAGAACTTAATACAAAGTCTTAAAGATTCGTCATTACATAAACAAATCTCTGTCCCTTTTAAAAAAAAGAGAGAGATTTTTCTTTTCCCTGCTTTTCTGTTAGCTAAAATTATATTCTAAAATATAATTTTACAATAATATTTCAAAATTATATCTTAAATAAGCACATTAAAACGGTTTTCGAAAAGACAAGAGCAGTTAAAGAAATATAAACTTTAGGGAGAAGAATAAGGTAAGAATATTAATGAATCTGAACATTAATAATATTTGAAAGAAAAAAAGATCTTTGTTTCTCTTTAAGGTATAACTTTTTTCATTAAGGCTGCACAAGGAACTTTTCATTTCTACTGATTCGATCAGTGAAATTTAACCCACCACATAACTAGTTAACACTGTGGGCGCTATAATATGGGTGCTCCCAGATGTGAAAATTATCCATAGTGTCAGAAAAGAGGAAGATAAAAATTTATAGATTTATGAGAATTTAAAATGCATAATGTTCTTGTGGTGACATTACATTTCATTACAGGAGTGAAGAGAACTGGATCCTTGGGAAAAAAAATCTACTCTTCTGCACCTTATTTTATGTTATTTTTTAAATTAGGTTTCTAATTTAGGTTAATTGAGGTTTCTTTTTATCTACCTTTCCTAGCCGTTATTTTTTTTTGCGATCAAATAAGGAAAGAAAAGAAAATAGAAAAATATGTCATTATTCTTGGAAGAGAAAGCTCTAATTATATTTGGCTCAACTTTAGTCACATTTCTTAACTATACATTTCAAAAAACTAACTATTCTTTAGTTAATTAAGGGTAATTCAACTTCTAAAAAAATCAAACATTGTTGTACGAAATTTCGATTTGTTACTTTTTCTATTGAATAATGCATGATTTGATGTTCCTGAACCCTAAAGATCTATTTCCAGAAAAATCTATTTTCAAGACTTCAAATCAAGAGATCAAATAAGGAAAGAAAAGAAAATAGAAAAATATGTTGTTATTCTTGAAAGAGAAAGCTCTAATTATATTTGGCTCAACTTTAGTCACATTTCTTAACTATACATTTTAAAAAAATAACTATTCTTTAGTTAAATAAGGGTAATTCAACTTAAGAAAATCAAACATTGCTGTATGAAATTTCGATTTGTTACTTTTTCTATTGAATATTGCATGTTTTGATGTTCCTGAACCCTAAAGATCCATTTCCAGAAAAATCTATTTTCGAGACTTTCCGAAATCTCAACAACTCTGGATATGGGATTTTCTACAGTAATAAACGAGTGAAATTGAAACATAAAGAAACAAAAAAAGAATATGATTGGAAGGAATGGACATTTTGTGAGCAACATTTTCTTTATATGTTATAAAATTTAATACATTATAATATTTTGAAATAGATTTTTTAAAACTTTGCATAAAGAAGACTGTTATATTATATTACTAATACATTAACAGGTCAGAAAATATAGAATTTGAAAATTGTTCATATAATCTAGGAATAAAAGGATGAGAAATCTTCAGTTTTAATTCAATAAGATCAAATAGTACTTAACATCAAATAACATCAAATAGTACTTAGAAAACAGTGGAATACCAAAAACTGATAAAAACTTTGATGCAGTATGGTCATTTTTTTAACATCCTCAGAAACATAATGAAAAAAGATTTTTTTTAAAAAAAGAAGAAAGTTCACAGTTTCAAAGAATAATCGCATGCCAGGTAATGGTTGACCCCTCCTGATTTTTAGAACTTATCCTGACATAATTTTTTTTTAAAAAAAAAAAAGCTATTATACCTAACAATATATACAGAATAATTTATGTAAAGTGCGCAAAAAAATAAATTTACAACCCCGAGTAACATTTCATTTAAAGATTGGATCTTCACGTTCCAGGACTCAATTTTAATGGTCCAAGGGGGTAACCACAAATATGCAAATTAATTAGTGCAAACGATATCTTAAGTTACAAAATCAGACACAAAAACCTACTTTCACTAAATAAATACATATTTTTTTATGGCAGAATTGGATTTCTGACCCCCAAAATATTGGGGGTAGCCACTATCTCCGAAATATGGTCCCAATAGTTTTGTCATGAGAACGATCCTAAGTTTGGACTCTTTAATGTTAATTTTACTTTACTTATTTCACGATATCTCAAGAGTATTTTAAATGAATTGAAAAAGTTATGCAATTTGTTTAGCCAAATATAGTTCCATGCAAAAAATAAATTTTAGTAATTATTATTTTTTATTATTTTATTTAACATGGGTAGAAAAATTTAGAATCATAAGGTATGCAACTTTTAGATCACTTTAAAGAATGAAAATTTTTATGGCAGAATACAAAATTTGAGCAAAATCGATCAAATAATTTTAAAGAAATCAAATTTTAAATATACGACTTTTTTAAAATTCAATTTGCCAGGAATTATTCAACCAATTTTGTAAAGTAAAATTCAATTCAATTCAATAAAGCAGTAAGAGCATTGGAATTTATAAATTATGATATATTATATTAAATAATATACTTACTCCAGCAATGGCTCGAGCCAAATGGGTTTTTCCAGAACCTGGAGGACCATGTAAAAGAAGACCTCTAACAGGTGAAATATTTAAATCTCGATAAAATTCAGGAGCTTTTAACCTCATGAACATTTTGAACAAGTCCTGAAAGCATAAAAGCAAATAAATTAAGAGTTTCCAAACATATGTGTAAAATAAGATGACCATTGCTTACTTTTAACATGTTATCTATGCCTCCACAATCTCTAAAAGTAATAGATGACTGTTTAACTGTTAAATCTGCAATAAAAAATTTCATAAGTTGGATTTAAAAAATCTGTGTGTTCATATATATATTGATATATAAATTATGGGTGTTTCACATGTGCTACACACTTAAATATCAAATTATTTTTTGACCTAATCTTTAATAGCCCCATAGCAATTTACATCTATTGCATAATCATTTGGATCACATTGTCTGTTAGGAAATAATATGATAAGCATTTCAAGAAAACATATAAAATGGACAGATAAAAAAAAGAACTAAAATATTACATGCTATGCTATTTTTGCATTAGAAAATAGTAAAATAAGCTCTTCTATTTTAAAAGTCATATTTATTATTCATTAAGACTTTAAAACAGAATTCTGAGCTTCAATCACAAAATGATGATTGCAAAATTAGATTTAATATACAGTCGGACTTCTATTTAATGAACTTCCATTTTGCAAATTTCTCTATTTTAAGAATTTTTTTGAGGAATCAAGAACATTTTGGAAATTTCTTCATAAAATTACTTCCAAATAGCGAAGTGAATTTTCTATTTAACGAAATTTTCTTTGAGATTCACTTTCCATAGTTACTTTACAGATATAATTTTATACAGCATATAAATACAGTCAAAATTGTATGCATAAATTTAGCTGTTTTTAGTTGAAAATGTATATAGCATAATAGTGTAGCACTGGATGTTTTGCTCTATTCTTGTTTTCCATGTAGATTTCTTTTATGGCTAAGATTTATAAAATAAATAGTAGATACTAGTTTATAAGATAAAGGTGTATCTATTGCTTTTTTAATTATGTCTAGTGTTTATGAATTTGAAACCTGTTTTGTGTTGTTTAAGCATTTTAAAAGGCGACTTTCTGTTTAACAAACTTATTTTCGGGATTTAGCAACTTTGTTAAATAGAGGTTCGACTGTATTTATAGGAAAATGGAATTACTTTGAAATATTTAGCTGCACATTTTGTTGAATTAAATGCTGTTCATATTAATTCATTTTTCTTTCATTACACTTTTACTTTCTTACACTTTTTGAAAACTGCTGCTCTTGAAAGTGATGTTTTAAGTTTTAATTCTTTTTCTCCTTGGTAAATTCAAGATGGACGTTTAAGCTCACTTCTGCGGGAGAAGTAAATTTCTTAATTGAAATTGAATCACAATTTTTAAATCAATTTTCAGTTTTCTCCTAGTCATAACTACATTAAGCTATTGTTCAAGACATAGGAACTGGCCTAAGTGCTAGAAAATTTTTAAAATATATTTTAAATATTTATTTTATAATTAACAATTAAGCTTGTTATTAACAAGCTGCTATTTTGTATCATACTTTTACTAAAAGTTTTCTTCACTTTCTTTGCAGGTGTTTTAGCAGGTGTTCCTGTGCCATCAAACTCTACTTCAGACTGTAAAAAAAAAAAAAAATCTAATTATTTTATGACAGAAATGAGCATTTATTAATGAATTATTCAAAAACAAGAAATACAAAAAACATTTAAAACATATTTATCATGGTGAGATTTATGTTCAAATTCTAAACATTAATGGCTTAAATTTACTATTTTAAATTTTTTGTAATAACATGACTAAAAGTAAATACAGCAATGACTAGAATACTTTTAAGAATAATGAATAAGCAAAATCATAAGTGAATAACATGGAGTAGAATAATAGTAGTTTAATGCTTTTGTCACAAAACTAACCAATTGTAAATAATAAAAAAAATTATACTGACACTACTTTTGTTATCTTTATTCTCTGCTCTGTGCTGCTTCATAGGTGAATCATTAACAGTATCTAACAAGGCAAAAATTCCATCAATAAGTTAAGAAACTCATGTATAGAAGATGTCAACAAAAAAAAAGGAAAAAAAATATCAAAAACTTTTTATAAAATATGTATAAAAAATATTAATGATAAAAGTTATAAAAAAAGAACCTTTTTATAAAACAATGGAAATGCTAGTCAAATAGAATACAAATGTTTATTTTCTTCATTCCATATTAAACATTTATCTGAAGAAATATGTTAGTTTCCAAATGAAATAAATTTTAAATTTAACCCTTGTCTAAAGTTTTAACTTGTATAAGGCCTCCTATGATGAATTCTTCAACTTCGCCATACGACAGAGCAAGTGATATCTTGCCTGAGTTCAAGATCACAAATAAACGGCAGATTCTATATTTTGATTGGCGTGTACTGTACAATCTTTGGGGGACTTCTCCAGACATTTGCCACTTAGTAGACAGAAAAGTAGAAACCATAATTTTTCATGGTCAAGAACACTTGTGAGATATCTGTGTCAGGTCGGATGGTAAAATGGAGAAGTTCTTCGCAGGTAGCTTTATAGTTTAAAGAAAATATGCTTATAGAAAATAATGTTAACATCAATAAATAGTAAGAAGCCTCAATATAACATCTATATATACATTACTCTTACACGGCGACAAAAAAAAAGCCTCATTACAACTCCCCGAATGGCAACGCTAGAAAATCGACCAATGATTGCCGCTAAAAATCTCACATGCCAAATCTAGCTGAGATGGCTCAACATAAGCTAGGCAGAAGTGAGTAGTCTTTGTCAATAGATCTCTATTTTAGTATTTTGTCGAAAGCGCTTTTTTTNCAATATTAAAAGGGTTATGTTAATTAAATTTTGATTATTGAGAGTGAGTTAATGATAGATGCTTATAAAATTAAGGTGTATATGTTTATTTCTGTGAAGAACCAGTTACATTAAAGGAGTTAAGGCTCAAAATTTTATTATATTATTTAATAAGTGCATTATTGAGAAAAAAAAATGTGTCTTAATTTTTTTCGGAATTTACTTGAGTTAATATTTTTGAAATTTTTATTTTGTATTATTGTAAAAATATTGCATTATTACATATTGTATTGAATTATTGTTAAGAAGGTACTTGTTGTGTATTATCGTAAGGTAAATTTCTAAAAATGTCGGAGTTAGGAAATTATCGCAAACCGGACTTAAAAATACTTGCGTATGAGTTTGGGATAGATTTGACGGCTGCTGATAGAATTATAGATATTATTAGAAAGATAGAGAGTTCTCCCGATTTTGATAAAACTATCGCGCTTGCGCAAATAAAACTAATTAGTGAGGAAAGATTAAAGAATGAAGCTGAAGAGAAGAGATTGGCCGAAATGGCAGCTCTCAGAGAGCATGAGTTAGAAAAACTCAAAATTGAACATGCAGCGGATAGTCGCAGTGTTTCATCAGCAAGCAGCGAAAATTCGAAGGGCATTTCCTTAAAAACCGTCATGCAGAAATTTGACCCGGAGAAATTGGATATGGCATTATTTCTTACCTTGTTTCAGCGACAAGCTAAAAAGGCACAAATAGATGAAGGAGATTGGGTTACTCAACTTTTGGCATTATTGCCAGTTGAAATAGCCGAAATCATCATTAGGGAGCCTGAAGAAAGGGCTGATGACTTTGAATATGTAAAAAAATTGCTATTAGATAGGTTCAAACTAAGCCCCGAGGCATTTAGAACAAAATTCATTCAACATCAGAGGCGCCCCGGAGCGTTGTGGAAGGATTTAATATTTGAATTACGGAGTTACCTCGAAGGTTGGTTGGAGGGTGTACAAATTACGGATTTTGAAGCCCTGAAAAAACTTATGCTAACAGATCAAATCAAAAGGCGAGTCCCCGGAGAAATTAAAGAGGGTCTAATAGATTCCTGGGTGAAGTTTATTGACCCAGAATCTCTAGCTAACAAACTTGATGAATATGAAGCCGTTAGAAAACCATTACGCAAAAATATAACTCATAAAAGTCCCATATAAAAATGGAATGAAAAACCTAGAGAAGTAGAGAAAAATCGGCCTGAATCTAAAGATCAAAGAGATAAAGAATTAAATTGGAGGGATAGAAGCTATCCAGATTCAAGAGAAAATAGAACTAAATTCTTTGAAGAACGCCGCAAACCCGCATGTTACGAGTGCAAATCTACGGATCACCTTCGGCCTCAGTGCCCGAAATTGAGGAAAAACAAATTAGAAAGAATCAATAAACTCGAAACAAATGAGTTCGGACCATCTTTTGCCCCTTATTTAAGTGAAGCCATTGTGAACGGTACAGAAATGACCGTTTTACGTGATTCGGGATCAAGTATCGATTTAACTTCGAATAAATTTATAAAACCTGATCAGTTAAATGGTGAAGTTATATGGGTGAAGCAACCGCTTGAAAACTCGTTTCGATGCCTGCCTCTGGCAAATATTGAACTCGTTATAAAAGATGTCGGCACAATCCGCACGAAAGCAGCTGTAGTGGATAGCGAAGTAGAGATGAAACATTATTTGCTAGGAAATCAAACTCATGAGCTTATTGAAATAGTAAAGAGGCAGCCTGAGAAAGTGAACGCTGTGGTTACTAGACAGACCACTCGATCTCAGAAAAGCGATAAATCAGGGGAGACGAAAATAGGGTTGACCCCTGCCGAGAAAGAAAAAGAAAATTTAGTTAAAGAGATAGAATTCATGGAGAGGATAGAATCGTCAACCCCCCAGAGAAGGGAAGGAGAAGAGAAAAAGGTTGATCAGGGGGTAACAATCTTGGAAGAAAATGAGGATACCCTTTCCCTCCGCTTTGTCCAGAGAAAACTGGTGGAGGAAAATATTCAATTACCACCTGCAGAAAAAAACGAGATTTTTGAATTAGCGGGAGTGAATTCGAACACTTTTCGCGTTCGACAAAAAGGTGATGACAGTTTAAAAAGGGCATGGGAAAAGGCAAGTGAAGATAACAAAGAGAATGCAGAATTTTTTATAGAGAAACAATTATTGTTTAGGCAGTCAATAGATCACAGAGGTATGATTCAAAAACAATTAGTGATACCGAGTAAATATCGAATTAAAATATTAAAATTATGTCATGAAGAGATCGGAGTTCACATGGGAGCAACTAAAACCAAAGATAAGATTTTACGTTATTATTTTTGGCCTAACATAATTAAGAAGGTGGAAGAATTTGTTCGTAGTTGCTATCCGTGTCAGCGGGTTGGTAAAGCGAGGGAAATTTCATACCCAATAGCTGATTCTAATATTTACGATTTTGACGAAATCATTAGAGATATTGAGTTAATAGAAAAGCGCACTCCTGTACAAATCGATCAATTAAAGAAATTGCTAATGGTGCACAAAGATGTTTTTTCGAATGACCCAGGAAAAACTGATTTGATCGAACACGATATAGAATTAATAAGTAACCAACCCGTAAGGTCAAAACCATATAGGACATCACCCAGGCAGACTGAAATATTAAAAGCAGAAATAAAACGTATGCTAGAGTTAAAAATCATCGAAATCGGAGAATCTGACTACACATCTCCTATGATTTTAGTAGAAGCCCCTGGTCAGGATCCCCGTCCTTGTATCGATTACAGGAAACTGAACTCGATTACTCGGGCAGAATATTTTCCCTTACCTAATATTGAAGAGAGAGTGGAATTAGTGGCCTCAGCAAAATTCATAACTCTAATTGACCTAACGAAAGGTTATTGGCAAATTCCATTGACCCCCAGGGCTCAAAAATTAGCAGCGTTCGTTACAACATTTGGTTGCTATTTACCTTTGGTTATGCCTTTTGGCCTTATGAGAGCACCTTATAAATTTTCTAAATTTATGGCTCTACTTTTAAAAGGATGCGAAAATTTTTGCGTGCCTTACTTAGACGATATGGCGATTTTTTCTGATACCTGGGAGGAACATTTAAAACATGTTGATATAATTTTAAACCGAATCACAGATGCCAAGCTCAAAATGTAAATTCGCTCAGCGTAGCGTGAAATATCTTGGACATATAGTTGGAGGAGGTTTCCGAACGCCAGCGGAAGCTAAAATACAAGCAGTTATAGATTTCCCTCCCCCTAAAAATAAAACGGAGATTCGTCGGTTTCTAGGCATGTCAGGTTACTATGCATGTTACATTAAAAATTATGCTTGCATTGTCGAACCTTTCACTAGAGCACTGAAAGGAAGCTATTGAATGGAATCAGGAATTAGAAGAAGCGTTTTCTGAATTGAAGGGTAGATTAACGAAAAAACCAGTATGTACGCCCCAAATTATTCAAAAGAGTTTGACATTCAGACTGACGCCTCTGACAAAGGTATCGGAGTAATTATGGCACAGAGGGGGGCGAATAATGAAGAACACCTTGTTCTTTATCTTAGCCGAAAATTTTCCGAACCAGAAAAACAGTTCAGCACGACGGAGAAGGAATGTGCAGGAATAATTTTCGCAATCAAGAAATTAAGACACTACTTGGACGGACAAAAGTTTATAATAGAAACTGACCATAATCCTCTCGTATGGCTGAAAACAAATGCTGGAAATAATCCTCGTTTGATGAGGTGGGCATTAGCCTTACAACCTTTTAATTATACTGTGATTCACAGACCAGGAAAGGATATAAAGCATGCTGACTGTCTCAGTAGAATAGAATAATCTTAATGATTTTTTATTTTTTTGTTATGTTATAAAATTTTGTTTTAAATTTTTGTTTGTATAAAATTTTTGTTTGTATTTTTTGTTCAATCATTAAAAAGGGAAGAAAAAAAAGAAAAGAGATTTTTCCTTTCATTTTCATAATTATTGTTAAGTTGTAAATTGATAATCTTTACTTAAAATTAATGCAATCTGTTAGTGTTATTTAGTTAGACTTTTTCTTTATGGTCTCTAGTAAAGTAATTAAGCTGCGTTGTTGTCTAACTATTATTTTTTAGTGATTTTGCTCCTAAGTTCACAAAATCGTTTTAAGGAGGGGGTGTTTGTCTGTAACATCTTGGACAGCTGACCCCCGAGTACATTCCCCTTTGGCATCCGGTGTCTCCCCATGAAATTCTACGAACTCGATGCACCTGCAAAAAGAGGAGAAAGACTGGACTCTGTAACAGAGGCGACAGGCAGTCTGGTGAGACGAAGCATCATGAGCGGACCTTGTGCCGTCTCGATTTGAGAACTTTTTATTACATAATTTTGTGTTCGGTAGAAGTGATGATAAGTGTAAATAACGGTGTATATAATTGTAATACAACCTTGTACATATAAAATTTACCCAGAAAACTTTATCAAAAGTTCTATAAGTTTTTTATAAGAGTTTTAGTTCAACCTGAACAAGCAACGAAATCGTTACAGCCTCCTATGATGAATTCTTCAACTTTGCCATACAACAGAGCAAGTATATCTTGCCTGAGTTCAAGATCACAAATAAACGGCAGATTGTATATATTGATTGCCGTGTACTGTACAATCTTTGGGGAACTTCTCCAGACATTCGCCACTTAGAAGATAGAAAAGTAGAAACCACAATTTTTCACGGTCAAGAACACTTGTGAGATATCTGTGTTAGGTCGGATGATAAAATAGAGAAGTTCTTTGCAGGTAGCTTTATAGTTTAAAGAAAATATGCTTATAGAAAATAATGTTAACATCAATAAATAGTAAGAAGCCTCAATATAACATATATATATATATTACTCTTACACGGCGACAAAAAAAAGCCTCATTACAACTCCCCAAATGGCAACGCTAGAAAATCGACCAATGATTGCCGCTAAAAATGTCACATGCCAAATCTAGCTGAGGTGGCTCAACATATAGCGCTTTTAAAAACGGAAACTGAAATAACCAGAGAGCATCAGCTGCGGCAATCTCATACTATTAAGCTAGGCAGAAGTGAGTAGTCTTTGTCGATAGATCTCTATTTTAGTATTTTGTCGAAAGCGCTTTTTTTCACGAATTTATATATTACGAATTTATTTGACGATTTTTGATTTATATCACGAATTTATTTGTTTTACTAGAATTTATTTGTTTATGCAGGTTTTTCCATTGCAATTCACTTATTTCAATTTTTAATAGACTTAATTATAGCCAAAATTTTAACCTTTTTAAAGAGATATCAGTTTTAGAAATTTTATCTTAAGATTTTATACTATAGCACATTTCTAATAGGTTTAATGAATTACATGTCATTCACTTGAATTCAAATTTATTTTAATGACTTAGTATTTACTAAAAAGATGTAATTTTTAAAAAAAAAAAAAAAGTTGTTATATGAATTTGAATTCTTAGAATTTTGTGCATTTGCAATGTACCTAAGTTAGCAGCGAGCGAAGCAAGCTTGGTCTGCGAAGCAAACCATATAAGATTGCGTAGCAATTTTCGGGGGTTGGCGAGCGTTTGCGAGCAGGGGACGTAGCCCACTAGTTCATATAAATGGTATAAAACAGAATTTTCTTTTTTTATGAACACTGTCTTACAGTTAAGTGAATTCAAATTTCAGAGTGTAGATAGAAACGACAACTATTAGCACTTTTATTTCCAGATAATGCCAGATTTTCATCAGTTGTCTCTGCTTAAATGTGGATGGTACCAGCAACCTGTAGGTGCCAAAATTGATTGTGTGATTAGTGTCATACTGGTTAAGGTACAAAGAGCTTGCTCAGATAACCTTGGAAATGTATCCGCTGATAATTTGCCTATAGACTGCATTTCAATATTTATACACATTATTTTGCTCTACGGCAAGCTCTCAAAAATATTTTCATCGAGTAAGCATTGTTTTAATGATAAACTTTAGAATATTTTTATTATGAATATTCCTAAAAATTTAATAGCAATTTATTACCTTTTACACTTTAAAAAATCACTTCTAACTAGTATTTATTTAATTTTTTGAATTTGCTTTTCTTTCAATTCATTTGGTTGAATAGTTTTTACTTTGGAAGATTTTCATATAATTCACGGTAAAATTTCAAATAAGATTTTCAACTTAAATTAACCTGCAAAATCAGAAAGATCATCAATTTAAAATTTAAATGTATGCAAAATAAATGAGCTTAAATGATAATATTTCAGAGACTTCAATTTTTAAATTAAAAACATATTCATAGTTTACCTCTGTAATTCTTTTTCTCCAATTTTGTAGACCTATTAACCATTTTTGTCTCTTCTGAACTATGTTCAGCCTAAAAAATTAAAATAAAACAAAAAACTTGGATAAAATAAGGAAATGTCAAATGCCAAAAAATAAACAAAAATTATATTATAAGCAAAGGAAAATTAATGTAGTATCAGTAGGGTTAATTTAGACTGAATTACTAAGAGCACATTTTAAACAAATTGGCAAAAAAAAAAATTACAGCACTTACTGAACTGTTATTACTTTCAAATACTTCAGTTTCACTTCCTACATATGAGTTATTCTTTAATTTATCAGCTTCCTTTTTGTACAAATTAAGCAATCCATCACTGAGGGAATTTTTCACCTAAGAGTAAAATTTTACAAAATGAATAATTTAATCAAAGTATAAGTAATATTTCTTTTAATTTAAATCAGAACTTTAATCAGTAGAAAAGATTTGATAATAACTATACTCAATATTAAATTTATAATCAAAATAAAATTTGAATTAATTCAAATGGTTAAAAACAAATAAAAGTTATACAACCTAATTATTACTGAAGAATTCGAAATATTAAAGCAATTAAAAATAATAATAATACATCCTATGGAAAAACGCGCTAAGCAGCAGTGACTCCAAAAGAAATTAATCAAATGAAAAAATTGGAAAATATGACAACCACAGCTGACGTCTGCAGGGGGTACCAGCCTCGGATGTCATAAAAGCAAAACCTTTTCTATCGAGAAAGCAAGACAAAAGTCTAAAATTGCTTTTTCTGTACCCCAAAGGTTTTGCCAAAGTCCAGGAAAAGAATAGAATGCATAAAATACAATAAAACACAGAAGAATACAATTTAAAATATAACTGTTGCAATGTAGGGCATTTTATTTATTCTCGTCTGCCACTATTTCTGTTAATTTAAATGTTCAATAAATTTTTTGACGAAAAATTATTTATTAAAATTGCTAAAATTCATATATAATTTTATAAATATAATAGTAAATATTATACTAAAATTAATAGCTCAAAAGAAAAGTAAGTTTTTTGAAAAATTATTGGACTTGGTGACATACTTGAAAATTAAACTAATTTCTTAACCCAGATTTTATTGATATTTATTTTAATTAAACAAAATATCAATTGCAATATTTTCCAGATTGTTTAAATTTAGGGATTCACCAGACACCAGCCATATTCTTACTACCCAGAATCAGCTAACAAATTTAAGGGTATCAAAATAATTGATTTTTCCTCACACCACGCATTTATGCACAACGCAAATACATATTAAGATTCATATAAAATTTAAGAGTACATCTCTCAATGAAAATTTAGATGATTTTTTTTATAGATTACTACTATAATACGCGTCTGGGCAATAAATTCAACTTTTGTCCAGTACAAGATTCAGTTTTCGCCGGGAATTAAGAATTCGGGCCCATGCATCTCTTTTTAACATTAATAATTATACTCGTTCTTTTGTCACCCTGTATTTTGTCCCATGCGAAGAAAAACTCAGACCATTGCTTAGCGGAAAACAGAAAAGAAATTAGTCAACAGTCACTACTGAACAAGTATTCATACTAGCACATTCATTACTATGTTTCTCAAGTTATAATGCAAAAAAAGTCATTAGTGAAGGAAGAGACGGTATTAGAAAGAGAAAAGTTAAATAATACTTCTTTTGAACAGTTCGCTGCTTGGGGAGTAAAATGAGATGAAGATTTGCGACGCATTTTTCTGTTAGATTCTCTTTCATATATATTATCAAACCCACGTTTTTTAACCATTACGGGTGATTGAATATTGTATACACGTTTACTAGAAACGTTAAAGAGCTTTCATCAGAAAAAGCAGTGCACTACTAAACACGTTAGTATTTGTTTACGAAAACACGTTTATTTATATTTTTGACTGACGCTTCCGTTTTCCTACTTCTGCTTCATTAAAGTCATAATTAAAGTTTATAATGAACTAATTAAGCAGCTTATGAATCTTTTTTAAGGTGTTTCCTTCTTGATTAAATAGATCAAAATCTTTTAAGTTAGTAAACTACATGGAACCGAAAACTACATTAAACACAATTCTGAAAGAAAGCATCGTGAAAATTTTAAAAAATATTTTTAACAATTGAATAAAAAAAATATCATAGTAGTACATTCCTATAAAAGAGAAGGTGATGGAAGGGGGGAGTGCCAAAGGCATTGAATCTGTCTTCTATTCGCATTCGAGCGTTGCGAACACCTATAGAAGACAACAATATAATAAAATATAGAAATTTATAATAAAATGTGTTTTTACTTTCTTTCAAAGTTGCTAAAACTTTTTTACTTAATTTAGAAATATGTTCTAATAACTTAGTTTATTTTATATTAATATTTATTTTGATAATTTAATTTTACAATTCTAAACTACTGACTGAGCCTTTAGTAAAGTGTACTTGTGATAGAATTAGTAAATCTGTACAGAAATATGGAGCACCAAATTATAATAAAGTAAAAATTGAAAAGAAGCATACAAAAAGGAAAATTTAATTCTGGGAGGGTGCGTTCTTGAAAATTGCGTCATTTAAGAATTTAAAACAAGGATTTACTGACATGATTTATATTATAGTAAAAGAACCTTCACACAGAGGCCGCAAGTGAACTTTACGCATATTGGAAGTAAAATGTGAAAATAAAAAAGAAGAACATCTGAGGAATCACAGTTGTGGAAGGCGAGAATGTAAAGATGGTAGTACTCTTCAAGACGAAACAAAAAAAACCCCTCTAATTTCATCTTGAATTTAGAAATTTCAGATAACGTCTTAAAAAATTGGCAAATATACCTTCTAATAATTTTTTTTCAAATATAAAGTATCGAATCAAAAATAGGGTATTCCGTAATTGTTACTTTTAATACAAGGTGTCAATATAATATTGCCCGGTATACCCTACACTAATATTTTTTAAAGTCAAGTGCCATTGCCCGGTATATCCTACACTGATGTTTTTTTAAGGTTCAGTGCCACTGCCCGGTATACTCTACATTGATATTTTTTTAAGATCAAGTGCCATTGCCTGGTATATATTTGCCCGACACTCCAAACATTGTTGTTTCTTCTAATCTATCGTCAGTAAGTATTAAAATATCGAATAAATGTAATTATATATCCACGAATAAATTAATATCAAATCGGATGTAGTAAATATTTCGGATATTCACCAAAGCGACTATGTGATTGTCAACATTCACCGGTGAAAGTCAACAACAACCGTAACATTCACAGTAACATGCACATCATTTACACAATAACCTCATCAGGGCGTTTATTTCAACTAAACATTTGTCATTCTATAAAATGCCTAGGCATTATGTACAATGCCTAGGGAAAGTATGTAATACTTCTCATATTTCATACTTTGCCTAAAAACGTCCGGCATTCTGTATAATGCAGGCGTTTCATACTTTTCCGGTAACATATACAATACTTGGATTGGGAATTACGTCAATTAACGGCTTTTACTCAAATTAGTTCATGAGAAACTTCGCCAGAGTCTTTTTTTTTTTTTAATTTTGTAAAACAAAACATCAAAATTGAGGCTTGCTATCGTTTCTCAAGATGCATGAATGTATTCCGGTCGCACGCGTTAATTGTGGCCGATATTGGCAAATTTCCAAGTTTCTTTTAGGCTCGAAAAATCTCACATTTTTTACATAATTTGCACGAACAATCATTGATGGATCACTCCGGAGCATTCTTATTAAGAAAAAAGTTAGATGGTCAATATTAAAGTACTACCGGTGACTGCATGCCTTTTACTTTAGCATACTTAAAAACGATGTTATAAACTTTTATATTAATTATTTTCTTAGGCACAGCGATTGGAAACTTTTTATATTCGTATAAAAATGAAGCATTATTAAGGAATATAAAAGAAAGAGGTACCTTAGTCAAATAAATTCTTATTTATCTATTTAGTATAAATTATAATTTATTTACAGTTATTTATCTTTTAAGATTTAAAAAATATAATGTGTATTGATTTTTTTACCCTTCCTTTTTCCCATCCAATCATATAAATTTTCAGGACACTTAATTGGTATTTTACGGTTTCTTCAATTTATTCTTTTCATTCTCGACCATATTCGAAGAGGTTAAATACATGAGCCGGGTCCCGGGAATGTCGGGTAATACAATTTTCCATAAAATGCATGACCTATAGTTTAATTAGAATTAACTAGTAAAATAACTAGTTTCTAAAAATAAAAAAAATCTCGTTGAAAAACTGTCCCTCAGCATTTAACATTATAATTTTTAATCATTGTTGAAATAAAATTAATTTCAAATGAAATATCTTTTTATTTATTTATTGGTTAATTTTATACGTTGCTTTAAATTTTTTGACATATTTGAAGCGAATGTATTCCGAAATACTTTATTAGACTGTCAAACAATTTTGAGAATCAACGGATTTAGAGAGGATCAGATTGCACAATGCTTCAAAATACAAAAAATGATCGAAAAATGCTATCCATAACTGAGCAATTATTTTTTTTAGTTTTTATTGATACCTTAAATCTAATTATTACAAATATACATTATGGTGGATGCGAATCTTCTAAACCTCATTTGATAAAAGGTGAAAATGGAGTAGTAACTTTTTTAAAAAATTTATTTGTTTCAATGGTTTGGGAAAGAATATCTAACAAAAATTTCACAATCTTTGTTCTTACTTAATTATTAACACGAAACTCGAAATTGGGTGGGCTGTTCAATGTCTGTTATAAAATGAACGAATAATTTGGCTGTAATAGCCTGGTTGAGGACTATGGACTCGTGTTCATGAGAATGGGAGTTCGAATCCAGCTGACCGAAGAATACCTATGTATAAAATGGTGTCTGGTGCATGCTAAATCTGTCTGGGTCACAAAGTCCACTAAGTTCTCATAACAAATCAATACCTCTGGGTACTGATCCAGAAGTTCCCTTGTCTTCTGTATTGAGTTCAAAATTACAAGGCTACGTAGTTAAACATGAGTAGTTGTAAACTCAAAATTGAGTCAGTGTTTCAACGGTGGTCATAAAAAGAATAAAACTAATAATCAAATTGTATTTTCTTGTATTTCTTTCTAACTCCTTGCATATTTTCTACACACCTTCATAATTTCATGTTTCTAAGTCTATGGATTTTGAGCAGCAAAGCAAAATGCAATGTAAAGAAATTTTTTTACTAATTCAATGATAATACTCAACAATAAAAAATGACAGTTTTCCTCATGTGTATATAAATAGAATAGAACTAATAAGGGCACCATCTTTTTCAGTAACTTGGGGCCTCGCCAAACTTAAATCCGGCCCTGCCCAAGGCACCCAAAGTGCCCATGTGGTAATTTTCAGTCACAGAAACTTTTTTTTTTTTTTTTTAGATTTCCCTTTGCGTTTTAGGATAAAGTTTTAATGTTCACCTCTAAAAAATAGTACGGATATACATTGTAAATTACTCATAAGTTTAGATCGCAAAAAATATTTTTTGATAACAGTTTCCTTTATATATTTTCCTACTGTAGGCAACAAAAATCAATTATGTATTTATGTTTTTTGTGTTTTTTCTTCAAGTTCATGAACGGCTAAAAAAATAACTTCATAAACACATAATGGATATTGCTCTAAAAATTAATAATAACAATTTAAAATAATTTGAAACATTAGGTGATTAAGTTTTAATGAGATCTTTTAATATGATATATTAAGTTGTCAGACGGTAATAAGTTTTTGAGAAAAAGTGAAAATGACTTTTCCCATAAACTAACATTGCTAAAAACGATGCCAACAGTCTTAAATCAACTAACAGAAACCAATAGAATAAAACTCTTTTAATTAGACACGCTTTTCTATAAATAGCCTTTTGGACTAGTAAAATTTATGGCCCGTGTTCCTTTTACTTGCCCGCCCCTGGGACTTCATGATGTTTTTGAAAGTGCGAACAATCAAAGGAAAAGAGGGGAGCAAATTGAAAAGGAAATAAAAGTTGAGCACCTAAACACCTCATTGAAATGTAGAGAATTTGGTTTCGGATCACATTTTGATTATCACAATTTGAAAAAAGAAAAATATATATACTATTTATTCAGTATAATTTATTTATTTAAAAAGATTTACAAGGCAATGTGTTTCTTCGTAGATTTTTGTTCTAATACAATTAATTGGAACTCAAATTTTCAAGAGTTAATCCCCCCCCCTTCCTGAGTGCCTGGGACCCCAGGCGCCAAAGAGAATTTTTTTTTAAAAAAAGAAGAAATAAAAGTACATGAAATGCTCTTGCATGTTCTAAAACATTCTAAATAGCATTTTCTATACAGCTGTCAAATCTTCAAAAAAAAAAGAAGAAAAATAAATAAATAAATAAACCACCATTTCTGTTTTATGCAAATACACACTTCAGTAAATGAAATAAAATAACAAATATTCTTAAATACTAATTATTTTAACTAATAACACCTCATCTACCACCGCGTTGCGTGGGGGGGGGGGGGAGAATACATGAGGTTTAAAGGACGCACGATTCCAGAATTAATAAATTTCATCTATATTGATGAGCCTTCTACGGCCTGCTGTCTCTCTTAAACAAATAAATAAAATAAAAACATGAATAAAATAGAAACTACAAATTTTTTTCACAAAAAAGGAAGAAAAAAAAAAAGAAAGGAAAAAAATGAGTCTTTGAACGCGCCAAATCTAAATCATTGTAGTTTTTTTTTATAGCTCTTTTCGTTGTTTTTCACTACAAATTTTCATAGTTTTTAAAATTCCGATTATTTTAACTCGGCAGTATTATGTTGCGTGAATTTCGAATTTTAGTAATGCTTTTAAAGCTCTTTATTTGAGTCCATTTCAAAGTTAATCCAAGTTATTTTCGATCGCGTTTTATCGGCAGTAAAATTTTCAACAGCTACCTCACCCCCCTGAGTCGGATTTCCAAATGGTTTCTTGTCCGGTCTCTTAAATGCAATATTATAACGGCTCGAGACTTTCGAATCGGGCAAGTAATAATCTCACGTTATTTATGTCAGTCTTATCGTAAGAACAGGCTATTTTTCTATTGCTTGTTTTCGGCAATACGCATTTACTCATGGTATTAAATACGGTGATATGATCTCAGATTTCAGTGGGATGATTTTGCTTGATGGTTCATAGCTAGTTTCTTAACATTCGGTTCAATATTTTCAGTGAGGTGAAGACGCAAGTCCCCTCGTTGCACGATTTCGAGTCGATTTCTCTTTTTTGTGACTAGATCCGTCACAGCACAGTCCAGGGTAGAGATGACTTATGTTATCTTGAAGCCAAAATTCTGTGAGACGATCACCATTCTGGAAGCTAGCTTTCAAAGTTTAGTTTCATAAGTTGAAAGTTCGACCAATTCCTCCTGAATATGAACCTCTGCTGCTTCAATATTCACGTAAGGGTTCATAACCCATTGAGGGACTTCCAGGGTCAACACATCTTTAAAACGATTAGAAAAGCCCATGTAAAAAGACTCAAGATGTTGACAATATTCCTGTATATCACCAGAGGAAATTTCACCATTCTTTTTAAGATCCGATAAGATCGGAAATTGGCTAAACTCATTCCTACCAAAATTCTGCTTCCACAAAATGAGTTTTTTTAGAAAGGCAGAAATAACTGATTTTGAAGTGATCAAATTGAGTTCGTTGTCTTGAAATTTTAAATTAACACCATTAAATTTTGCAAATAAATCCGTCATGTAGGCAACGTCTATCTTAAATTCTAGCAATCTGTCTCTCAGAGCTACATCTTTGTCTTCCAGGAACTCAAGCACAAAGTCGAAAAGATTTTAAAACCTATTGAGAGCTGTCTGAATAATCGATCGTTAAGAGCATTACTGCGAATTTTGTTCACAGCAGAGATAACGTATTGCAGTGACTGATGCAAGCGGTCACTGAGATTTTTTCCAACTAAATGCTGCCTGTGAATCACGCAGTGAACAGCTAAAATATCTGGTACCTCCCTCTTCAAAAAGGCGATAAACCCACCATTGCTGGAGCTCCATCAGTGGCAACAGACATAATATTCGTAAAAGTAATGTTTTTCTCTTTAAAATAATCTCTGACAGTGTTAAAAATAGATTCTACTTTGGTATCTATAATCAAGCTTCGTGCAAAGAGCCTATCTAGAAAAAATTCTCCTTCCTCAACAAACGGACATACGCCAACAATAAAGCCTCATTACTTGGCAAAGTTGATTCATCAACTTGCAGGGAAAATTCATTCGATATCAAAAGTTTGCATAAGGAATCCTCAACGTCTTCCGCCATCTCATCAATTCGTCGCCGCACTGTATCGTTGTTTAATGGGATATTTTTTATTACATTAGATGCGGCTGGATGATGTAAAACTGTTTCTAAGACTTCCTTAATAGATGGAAGTATCAACTCTTCGCCTATGGTATGAGCCTTGGCCAGATTTGGCAATTAATTTTGATATATTATAAGAAGCTATCAGACCATCGTCGCATTTTTGGGTTAAATATAGAACAGCAATGTTTATATAACAAAAAAACGTTTATTGAAACTGTATTAAAAAAGTTTTTTTATTTAGCTCTTTTAAAGTATGTGAATAAGCGCAATAAATTAGTCAGCTAAAATGCTTGTTAATTATGGTGTAAGCAAAATATTGATTGCACAGCAAAGATATTGTTTGTATTCAGTATTGTCACCTGGAAGAGTCATTCCACAGTATTTTCAGTTAGGGGTTGAATAAATTCAAATTAATGCAGCGAAAAAGCGAGAAAATTATTACTCTCATGATCATTATCTCCACTATTTTCATTTTATGATCAATAAAAAGCAAGGTCACAGAAAGGGATGTTTTATAATGTAGTATTACATTCGCCTTTTTTCCTGACAACCTTAAATATTTCTATAAAAATTTTAAATAACTACTAACTATTGCTTTTTAATTAAATTGTGATTAACTATTACTCTATTATTTTTCAGTAATTACTATTACTTAAAAAATTGCATATAATTTTACTTATTAACTGCTTTTTTAAATAACTATTACTCCACTTAGGCTCCATCATTAAATTCATGCTTGTTTTGTAGAAGGGAAATATGAAGACTGAGTCGCAACGAACATTATGGATCTATATCCATGACCATAATGTCCTCGCAATTAGGCCGTTATCTGGTAAAAAATAATATTGCTCTCGGTTTTTTTTCTTTTTCTTGTTTACATGATATGTTACACGATGTACTAAAAACTGAACTCAGTGGCGCGACAGCCCATAGAGGAATGTCTAACTCTTCTTCATGTCAAAAGCAATAAACTATGGTATAGTACATAGGTTCTCAACCTTTGTAACGCTGCCGCCCCCATAAGGAGCAAAAAGAAAGTTTAAACGCCCCTTTTGTGAAAATTCAGTTATTTGGAGCATAGGGTGAGCTGAATTATAAGAGGTAACATTTTTAAGCAATATTCTTACGCGTTAACATTGTTTGGCTTTTTTTAAAAAAATAGTGTGAACGTTAANTGTTAATTATGGTGTAAGCAAAATATTGATTGCACAGCAAAGATATTGCTTGTATTCAGTATTGTCACCTGGAAGAGTCATTCCACAGTATTTTCAGTTAGGGGTTGAATAAATTCAAATTAATGCAGCGAAAAAGCGAGAAAATTATTACTCTCATGATCATTATCTCCACTATTTTCATTTTATGATCAATAAAAAGCAAGGTCACAGAAAGGGATGTTTTATAATGTATTACATTCTCCTTTTTTCCTGACAACCTTAAATATTTCTATAAAAATTTTAAATAACTACTAACTATTGCTTTTTAATTAAATTGTGATTAACTATTACTCTATTATTTTTCAATAATTACTATTACTTAAAAAATTGCATATAATTTTACTTATTAACTGCTTTTTTAAATAACTATTACTCCACTTAGGCTCCATCATTAAATTCATGTTTGTTTTGTTGAAGGGAAAATTGAAGACTGAGTCGCAACGAACATTATGGACCTATATCCATGACCATAATGTCCTCGCAATTAGGCCATTATCTGGTAAAAAATAACATTGCTCTCGGTTTTTTTGTTTTTGTTCACATGATATGTTACACGATGTACTAAAAACTGAACTCAGTGGCGCGACAGCCCATAGAGGAATATCTAACTCTTCTTCATGTCAAAAGCAATAAACTATGGTAGAGTACATAGGTTCTCAACCTTTTGTGAAAATTCAGTTATTTGGAGCATAGGGTGAGCTGAATTATAAGAGGTAACATTTTTAAGCAATATTCTTACGCGTTAACATTGTTTGGTTTTTTAAAAAAAAATAGTGTGAACGTTTACTCGATACTTTTCTCCCGACAGGTAAT